ATCTTGTTAATAGCCCATGTATGCAATGGATCTCTCTGCATTCAGATTATCTTAAGTTTTATGTTTTCTCCATTACCCTCTAGACTGACTTCACTTCTCTCCCACAGGCCACAAGGATCTCCTGTCCCAGTGACAGGGGTCTTTGTTTCTGTCCCAAAAGATCCTCATCTGCTCCTGCAAAAGCTGCAATGTCAGAAACAAAAAGCTGCACTGTCAGAGACAAAAAGCGTAGTGAAAGTGTGTAGTCATGAAGACTAAAGACACCAGCAGAGAGGGACAAACATCTGGTCCATTAACCTAAAACCAGCTCAGTTTGGGATGTAGATTTTATTTTTAATGTGATTTAATTCTGTAATTAAATTTATAGCCCAGATCCCTAGGAAAGCAGAGAAAGCGATGTCCTCCTCCACTGTCAGGGTTCAGTCTGTCACTGTCTTTGTGACAGAGGGTCTCCATCTCTCTCAAAGCAGATCCAGTGGGCTGTGCTCCAGGGCATATGTGTTGAGCTCTGGCTGAGAAGTCTCCAACAAGAACTGTGAATGAGGCAGAACAACTTCGGGCTCCATTTGACATTGCTCTTACATCCTAGAGGGACCTAAGATCCATTGCAGGTGCTAGGACTTGGCTCTCTGTCATTACCAAGACTGTGTAGCACAGCACTGGGGTCATTGAAAGCACCATGAAGACCGTGTTATATTGCTCTCTGCTTTCCAACTCCAGATTTGAAAAACTATCTGGGGCTCTGTTAGTCTTTCACATGAGTCAAAGAGCTAGGATAGCAGCCACTGCTAGCCCCTCCTGGCTGACCTGAAAAGTTTGCCTCTGGATTCAGTTACAGACTTCTCCCTGTCTTGTAATCACATTTATATCCTCATGTTGGCCAATGTATGTATTTCATACATTGGGACCTGTTGAGATGGTCTCAATGTCCTCAAGCCTATACAACCACTATTAGGTCATGTTGCTCATTCACATGGCCTCTCAGATCTGTGTGGATTGGAACCCTAAGTTCACATTCTGATTTTCCATATATTTATTCTTTTGTTCCTAGGCCAGTATTTTGATTTTGATGTGGAAAGACACTCGAGGAGTGTGCTTTCTGGAACCCCAGCAGGGTTACTGGTGTTCCTCCATAACAAGTTCAGTTACAAGTCCAGGCCTCCTGCTGTAGACATTTTGATAGACTATGACCTAAGCAGGGTGACCTAGTACCTGAAGGAAACAGACCTCCAGATACTTCTGTTTTACAGCCTAATTCAGGGAAGGGTTACCAGCCACCTTACAGCTGTACTTCCTCCCCAAAGTGTCAGCCACAACACCCTGAGAAAGTTTGAAAGTTTGAGAGCTCTGCTCCCACGTTACTGTGATTGGTTACTAACATAGTTCTCCACTGTCCTCTGTCCTGAGCTGGAATAGCCTTTAGTGAGGCCATTAGTGGCCTTTTACCAAATGCTAGTATAACTCCCATTCTTGAGAGTGGGTGTTTCAAGATACTTATTTCACTCCGCTGGCTGTGAGCCCCACGGTACCTGTCATTCCTACAGTGCTCTTGCTGACGGAGCCTGGAGTGTGGCAGCACTCATTAAACAGGTGATTGCACGTGCCTCTCCGATGCTGGAAGTTTGATGGGAGCACCGGCTCTCTCTCCCTCTCCGCTGTGTCTTCCGATTTTGAAACCATGCCTTGAAGTCAGTGGGTGCTCAGATATTCGCTGAATAAATAAATGGGCATGCAGGTGGAAGCTGTGCCCTCCCTCTTTGCCCTTCTTGCCTCCTCCCTGGTTTTGACCCCCTAACTAGACCTGCATTATCTCATCTCTTTTAATACCTTTTTTCCCATGCTGTTTCTGAAAAGCGTTATAGTTTGGCCCAGACTGTCATTCTTATTTGCCTACTGACTGCAGAGGGCTGGAGGTAAAATAATCATTGCTGTATCCTTTCATTTTACTGAAGGCCCAGGGAGCTAAAGTGAGTTGCTCAAGCTTATAGAGCACATCTTATATGCCTGCATGATTGCTACACCTCCCCTCTTCCTTGGCAGGTTTACATCTTAGGTTGAATGTGTCCAGTAAATATTATCCAGAAGCTTCTTTCTAATCTTGCCTATGTCTTAAGTCCTGGAGCCAGTTGGAGAGTAACCATGTGTGCCCGTCCCCACCGCCACTACCATTTTGTTCTCTGATAATATAGTTACACTCAGTACAGCCAACAACTGTCTCTCAAGTTATCACCTCTCATTCCTAAGTAAAAATAATTTCTCAAGCCATTAGTCAGGAGCGTTCAGGCTTCAGTATGTGGCCACCCAGTGTCTGAGACTTTTGTCCCAGGTTAGTGTCCTTTCCATGCTGAAAGTCCTAATTTGGCCTTGACTGTTTCAAGAACAGTGACCAGTGCTTGACTGAAGTAAGCTGTCAGCCAACCAGTCTTTACTGTTACCCCAAGGAAATAGTAATAGGTCCTAACTGGCTTACTTGGGTGATAATGGTGATGGAATGAACAAAAGGTATAGTAGTCACTTGACTGGGCATTCTGGAAGAGATGGGGTCAGAATTAACATCATTTTAGTACCTGGATGACCAGGGAAATAAAAACACCATTAGCAGAGAGAGAGGAACAGACACATAGGCAAAGTGCAGGTTTAGAGAGAGAAGGTAAACTCAGCATGGGACATAGAGAGCATCAAACATCCAGATTGTGTTTAGCAGGCAGTTGGAAATACGGAGCCAGCAGTCAGGGGAGAACTCTAGGGCAGAATTGCAGATTAGAATGCAGAGGACTATCCGTATCGAGCTAATGTTGAAGTCACAACATTGTTATATGTGTAGAGTGAGAGATGAAGGGAGCCTTGAAACACATTCCCATTTAAGGAAGATCTGGGAGAGAGGACTATAACTTAAAGAGTTTAATGTTGGGCATATATGTCTTCTAAATAGGGGTGAAAGTGAGAGGTGGCACAGACCAAGGGAAAGGACCCAGTGAGGTGGGGCAGAGTAAAGATGCAAGAGAGAGGTGTGGGGAAGTAATTTCTGGATCAAGGTACAAGGGCTTTGAGCTCTCAAGTACTTGAAGCACCCAGCTTCAGTGTAACAAGAGTGAAGACGAAAAGTATGGAGTCATTTTAATGAGAAGGATGTTTAGGCAACTGTGTCCCAAACAGAAAGCTATGTCCCTGCAAAAATGAGGTGGACACAGGGGGACTGAGGGCGTGAGAGGGGTGGGAAGAATTTGAGATAGGAAGTAAACATCCTAGGGAATGTGGGAATCTCCTACAGGTGAGTGCAAGCCTGGGGGAGCAGAGGGCGGGTCCCTCCGAGACGGAACAGCATACACTAAGAGGCCAGGCAGCCAGGTTTGGTGGTTTTCTACTGTAGTGTCAGCAGTTTGGGATGTGAAACAGGAATGATTGGTGGGAGTACAGTGAAAAGAAGGTGTTTGTCTACTAAGTGGAGTATCTGAGCAAGAAAATGAGGTCAGGGAGAAAGCTATATGAGGGTCAAAAAAAGTAGGCAGTTAAAAAGGGAGGAATTTAAAGGCTAGAAGGGGCAATGAGGACAAGGGGCGGATGTGTAGAAAGGTAAGGATGAAGTTAAGTTTGGTCTTGGGCGAGAATAGATCAATATAGTATGTTTTCTTCAGCCACTTACAAACCAGCAAATCACTGTATAAAAATTACTATTACTACCCTACAGCTACAGTGTGGTTCCCTGTACTTAATAGTACATGTTCTTCTCACCATCACCCTTAATTTCAGCTCCTTTTTTTCTCTTCCCATTTGGTTTGAACATCCTGAGATTTCCCACCCCTTCCTACTCTGAGGTCAGCCTTCTAACTCCTTTCATTTTAGAATAGGTCAGTCAGTGATCCTCATCTTGGTGGCACCCTGGACTCTACCTGAGCTTTAAAAAAAGTATAGGTTCCTGGGCCCCCGTCCCAGAGACTCTGATTTAATTGGCCTGGGATTTGTTTTTTAAAGCTCCCCAGGTAATCTTCCCATGGGAGCAGTGACTCCCATTAATGTGTTGTCCATATTGGGAACTACCTGATGAGCACAGGACTACTTCCCTAACCAGGACCATATTACAAGCACAGCTAAGCATAGGGATTCTGGAGTCAGCTGCCAGGGTCCCCATCTCAGCTCTGTGATTCCAGGCAAGCTCTGTATTACCTAAGTCCTCGGTTTCTTAATATGCTGGTGGGAAGAATCATAATCATGCCCACAAAAAAGGTTAAATCAGATAACATGCTCATTCACACCACACCTGGCACAAAGAAGTACTCAACAAATACTAGTCTTGTTAATATTTGTATTGTGATTGCATTAGCATTTTTAATATGTTGCCTTTCCCTAGGACCATACAAGTTAAACTTAATTTCTTCACCACACTATTTATTTTGTATCTACACATTGCTTAATGAAGGAAAATTGTAGGATACCTTGTTTTCAAATGTTTGAAAAAGCTTCATGATTGTAGTGATCGCATGTAGCAGGGCTTGGTGCTATAGTAAAAATTGGCAAGGATTACTTTTCTAAGTATTTAACTTAGTTTCCACTTGCTTGGTAAGAAAGTGGCCAGAGAGTGACTCTGTCAGAAACCCGCAAATTTCCTTTCACGAAGGCTGAGTGTGGACTGTGGTTTTCCTAGAACCTCACGCTGGCAGGAGCCTGTCCAGTAGTAGTTCGGTTATATCTTCCACTCTTTCTCAAGACTGTTCATGCAACACCTCTGCACTATTCATGCCATGTCATTGTTGTTCCAAGTGTTTTTTTAAATAATCAAACAATCTGCCCCTTACACCTGTCATTCAGCCTGTTAGGTCCTTAGGGGTAGCCCAACCTTTCTGATGAGATGCCTGCCCCCACCGCAGAATGATGGTTCCAGAGGTAAAACTCTTGCTCAAACAACATTAAACTTCTAATGACGTTATCTTACTTGCATTTACAAGCAGTGAAGTTTGTCATCTTTGTGTTGTTATTTATGCAGCATTAACCTTTTTCTCCAGATCATTGAGACTGAAAATATGATGGACCGAATTGTGACTGGCTTGTCTGAGTCTAGTGTCAAGGTGCGGTTAGCTGCTGTCAGGTATGAGCTTTAAATGGTCTGAATAAAAATCCCCTGCCATGTGTTTAACCTGTTTCCTTTCTGGACCTTCACCAAGTAAGCACAGAATCCAGGTGTTACTCGAAAGTCTGAATTCAGTGTGTGACATTTTAAACAGAAGCTAGTCTAAAAAGCCCACGAAGATTTCTGATAGTTGAATTAGTAATGTCTGTGGATATACTTGAAGTGGATCTTAGTAATTGTGAAATGCCAAGCAGTATGTTTGAAAAGTGCCAGTTGCAGCTTCCTGTGAGGCTAATTTTGATTATCCTTTGTAGATGTTTGCACAGTTTATCTAGATCTGTGCAGCAGCTTCGAACCAGTTTCCAGGATCACGCCGTATGGAAACCGTTGATGAAGGTAAGGAAAGAAAGGGTTAGCACATGGCACCCATTCCCACGGAGCCTTTAGCGAGTCGAGGTAGTTGGCTGACGGCATTCCATGGTCTAGGAGTATGTGTACTTTTTGTGTAGAATGTTTCGAACAGTTATTTCCCCAAGTCTCAGGTCTAAGCATTTTTAGACCCGTAGAATGCGTTTCTGAGGTCAGCATCTCATGTGTGACAGGGACATACTTATCTGGTTTTCTTTTATTAAATGAAACTTTAGTTACTTATCTGATCTCTCTATGTGTTTAGTATTATATTTTGGACTTATATTCAGTCATCTTTGTAATTTTTAGTTATAAAAGGAGACAAATCAGCCATTTACAGAATATAGTCTGTTCTTAGTCTTTTGGCACTCCCTTGGTATTTTTTAACACAACTGTTACCTCCTGCTTCTCTACTTCAAAATAACTTCTTTTGGTCTTAGGTCTTTTCTTGGGGGCGGGGGAGGTTGTTGAGGCCAATTAAATCTGAATTGAGACTCAGAATATGCATCAAGCTGCTGCTAATAGTATTCCTGATACATTACAGAACCACGGGTCAACTTGGCCTCTGGTCCGTCCTTTTTTCTTTAAGTGACCATACACCTTGCATTCAACTGACAGAATTTTTTGTTTATTTTTTTGTTTTTGTTTTTGTTTTTTTTAGTACCTGCTAAGAAAGCCTCAGGGCACAGTACGGCTACCACAACTTTTTTCTGTAGAGCTCTTGCCTTCAGCTTAAAGCATCAGGTTACAGTTGGACGCATCAGTGGGGTAGAAATAGTCACAGGAGGTTTCAGGCAGCAAGACTGAAAAGACAGAGGAGCAGCATGAACAGAAACATTACATTAGGGTTTGTGCAGGAAGCGTACCGGGGCCTCTGGGACTGTAGTGTTAGGGTCGGGGTGTGAGCACTGGTGGAGAGTCGGATGGTGCTGTCTTTAGTTGGGTGATTTTCCTGTTGCCACTCTTTCCTGTCCTTAGATCACACTTGGTTCATGGCAGCTTAACCTTGGTTTATTGATTCTGTCCATTCAGGATTTTTTAAAGTACTTCCTATTTCCCTAAATAACTTTCAAATATTTCTTCCCTAATGGCTCAGCTCAGTACCCCTCTATCATGTGAATCAGAAGTGCAGTAACATGTGATTTCTCACCCCTTTTACCTGGGAAAGGTTTGGTGAGCAATCTGGAGGGGTTTTGTGCACGTGGGTACATGTGGGTGTACTTACTATCAAACCACTGCTTTGTTGTACATTTAAAATATAGCTAGCATTAAAGTAGATCAGTAATTTGCTTTAGATATTTTAGTTCCTCTTACTTCAAAGACTGTTTGCATGTCTATTGATTTTACCCTTTTTCATTTCCATGTTTTTAAGTCTTGGTTAGCAAACCACAGGAGAGTAGCCATTTGATTTTAATTAAAATTTTTATCTGTGATCATTTTTGTCAATATTTTGGTGAAACTCGATTTGGCTAAAGTTAGATGTCAGCTTCTGAGTTTCACATGTTGTATCTTATCCTGGATAGAGTAAATGCTTTTAAGAATTTCATAGACTCTCTTCTGTTTTAGTTTATCATTCAACGTTATCTAATTTGAAAATAAAACTTGATAAAAGCACATTAATTTCTGTAAAACAATAAATATTTTAAAAAGTGAGTCATATCAAGCAAAGCATCTTTTTATAGCCTCATATGCACTCATGTATTTAAGCCAGTGAATCTAAGTAGTGTGATTTTGGAAATGATTATTGCTCTTATTTTACAGAAATTCATTGTACACCCATTTTGTGCTATGACATTTGGTTGATACCAGTCAGGATAAATTAGGCCATAGGTATATAGATTATTCCTTCAGAAGCTTAAATTTGCTAATAGAAAAGGAGATTGGCATGGCCACACACGGAATTTGAACAGTGTGAACAATAATAAGGGTCCTAAGAGAGGCCACAGACAGTGGCAGTGGTTGCTCAGAGGAGGATAGAATGACTTCTGCCTGGGAGGGTTCCAAGGAGGCTTCTGGAAGGAGATGGCCTTACCACATCGGTACGGGATGCACTGGAGAGATGTAGGAAGGTCATGGAAAGGCAAGAAACGGTGACCAGGGTCTTAGAGGTGTGGTGGCACACACAGAGATCAGCATAATATATGAGATTTGATCTTTATCAACTAGCTAACAATGCACAGGAAAGTTAGAACAGTATCTTAGGAGAACTGCTTCCGTTTTATAATACTCGCTTACTCTTAACTCGAGAACTTCAGATTTGATTTAGCTGAAGAAGCTAAATATATATTTAACTCTAAAGAAGCAGATAATATATTGAACTCTAAATTTTTTTGTGTGATTCTCCATTTCCAATTTGCATAGCTAGTGCTTTTAGGACTGGTTTGGGATCACAAGCCTTATCCAATCGGATCCCAAATGCAAAGGATGTAGGTGGAATGGTTATTGCATGTAAGTGGTACTGTTTATGAAGCCCTCTGTCTTTGAATCTAGAAAGAACAGGTTCTGATTAAAGCCAATGGTGGCTAACATGCTGTGCTTGATGACATGATGACATGCTTGTCATCATGCTGTGTTGTCTTCTCAGTTCAGTGTGAGTCTGTGGCATTTACTTTACTCGATGCCTGCCACATGCCTGGTATTGTGCCTGGTGAGAGCACAAACTATATGGCAATAAATTACCTTTCTAAAAACCTTATTGATATAGCCAGTACTGTGAATGAAAACATTCTAAAATCTTTTCATTTATTAATTCTCACAACAACCTTATGAAGCAGGTACGATTATTAGCCCCATTTGACAGCCAAGGAGTTCATACGCCTATTCAGTGGCTGAACTGAAATTGGCACTCAGGTAGTCTGTGTTCTTTTGTGCCATGATGCATCCCTTATTATTCACTGTGTCAAATTTTATCCTGATAGTTCTATCAAGGAAATGTTAAATTCAACTCAAAAGCGCAGAGAGGTTAGGAAATGTACTCTTGTGCACACATCTCATAGGTGGGGGGTAAGAGCTGGAACTAGACTAAGTGATTCCAGTCTCCAGGACCAGCTCCCTGCATCATCCTGCCTATGCATCAGCTTGTTCCACCCATGCTCCTGTTCAAATAAGTCTTTTTAGGGACACTTTGGAAAGTGCTGGGCCCTAGGATAATTTTGTGATTTCATAATCGGCCTGATTTGTTACAGTAGAATGAGCTTACTTTCCCTAAACCAGCCCATGATTTTCAAACTTTTTACATAGGGCACCGCTGCCTGACTTGTGTCTGTCTGCTTTTCTGTGCAACAACCCTCACCCTGGCAGTGGAGCTGTAGCTTCTCCAGCAAGATCAATGTGAGGGTCATAATTACAGCACTAGGTAAAGGCTCACACTATGTCAAGTGGGTCTTTCCTAACCAGCTCTCTAATATGGGAAATCAGGTTGAAAGATAAATTGGGCTTTTCTTCCTCATTTATTCTTAAGATCTCACCTCTATGTCTCCAAACCATTAATAGCATCCTTTTTTTTTAATTCCCTAGGTTTTACAAAATGCACCAGATGAAATCCTAGTTGTAGCATCGTCCATGCTATGTAATCTTCTTCTTGAATTTTCTCCAAGCAAAGAGGTTAGTATTGATTTTCTCTTCCTAGACCTTGCTCAGTCCTACCAAGACAGACCTTAGTCAAATAATCTTCACAGTACTTGACATTGAAATTTGAAGATTGGTTTTAAAAAACTACTTCTGAGTTGTTTGATGCTACAAGGAGGAGGGCAGCAAAATAAATCATTCTTTAAATATGGTTATTATTTTCTGTTATACCTTTTATTCTGCCTGGCCTATTCAGATTATTTTTAAAATATTATAGTGTACAGTAACTCTAAACTGCCTACAACTGCAAATGTAAGAAATAGTTACAAAAATAATAGACTGTTTTCAAATTGCATTTACTAAAGAGTAAATTAAGACTCCATTTTATAAACCAGGATTGTAAGTCATTTCAAGGAGATAACTGCTGGCATCAGAAAATAATCTTTTTAATGTTTAGTGTTATGGTAGTTGTGTGGAGAAGGATTAAATGTATAGATATTTTTCCCTTGTTTTATGCATTTTATTAGTTATTTGAGCGTGTATTATTCTAATGGGAAATTAAAATCAACTTTAATAAAGGAAGGAAGAAACCTTATAGAGTTAATGTTATCATGTTGAGGTGTCTCTGGTGTGCCAGTTGTGAACTGAGGTTTAGACACTGTCCTTACTGTGCACCGAGCAGTCCCATTTTTGTTGGACAACTTTTCTGCAATGTAATACCTACAGACTGCTGACTGGTAATTGGGAAGGCATGAGTAACAGGTGGAGGTTCAGAGATACCGCCGTTCAACAGGCAATAATAATCTTGGAACAAAATGGGAGAGGCTGATCATTATTCTGAAGGAGACAAAGGCGAGATAAGATGCCAGCACTTCCATCAGTTCTTCTCTGCCCTGATGGTGGGGATCTTGGTCTGATGACAGTCGGGCGCCGTCAGTATGACACCGTTAGTCATCCTGCATAGCTGTTGTGATCCCTCAGATCCACCTTCAGAATAATTAGGGTCTAGTTATGAAGTGAGGTAGATGAATGCAGGTGTAGGATCATTAATACAATTGGTTTTTCATATTAAAAATAAGCTGGCTTATAGTTAGTACTGTATTGTGTTTTTGAAAGTTGTTAGGAGACTAGATCTTAAAAGTTCTTATCACAAGGGACAAAATTGTAGCTATGTGTGATAATGAATTTTAACTAGACTTATTCTGATGATCACTTTGCAAAACATACTTATATTGAGTAATGTTTTAAACCTGAAACTAATACAATATTTTATGTCAGTTATATTTAAATAAATAAATAAAGTGGATTTTGAACTGGAAGGTAAGGAAGTGCTATAAGAGCATTATTGGGCCAGGTGACTTGGAATATGGACTATAGATTCAATAAAAGTATTGTATTAATGTTAACTTCTCTGAATTTGGTAATTGTTCTGTGATTAGCTAAGAGAATAGTCTTGTTCTTAGGAAATACACATTGAAGTAGTAAGGGTAACGGGGCATGATGTATTCACTCTACTTTCAAGTGGTTCAGAAAAGATAAAAAAGGCAAATGTACTGACAGCTGTAAGAGGGGAGGGGGAGGTGGGGACTGATTGAAAGAAGGTGAAGGGATTAGTCAGAGAACGTGTATGAAGGACCCATGGACATGGACAACCGTGAGGGGACTGGTTATGGAAGGGGGGAGGAGGGGTAAAGGAGGAAAAAGTGGGACAACTGTAATAGCATAAACAATAAAACACTTGAAAAAGCAAACATGCAAATATAGGTTTATAGAATGAAAGATAATAAGCAAAATGATACGGCAAAATATAAAAAATTGGTTAATCTGGGAAAAGAATTTATGTAAGTTCCATGTATCAGTCTTGCTACTTTGTAAGTTTGACCTTAGCTGAAAATAAAAAGTTTAAAAAAAAATAACCCAATTTATACAAGTAGAGGAATGTGTATCCTTTGAAAATGTCATGGTGAAAAGCACTGCTCTGTTTCTTGGTATGTAAGTCTCAATTGTTTAAGACGTTTTCTAGAATCCACTTGACAAGTGGCCTTTTAAGCATTCATTGGTGATGCAAATCAGTCCTCTAGGATTTGAACTTTTATAAAATTAACAAAACTCATTTTCTGCTAAGTGTCATAAATTCAGTGATCAGGCTAAAGCATGCTATTTTAGGTGTAAAACATGGTATGACTAAGTGTAAGACTGTTCTGCTTGTATTATTGAGTAGTCCTGAAAGTAGCTCTAAAAGTCGAATTCTGTTTGGAGTAAGATTGACTATTTGGAAGGAAGATAGGTTATCTTAAATTCCATTCTAAATCAGCCTACTGCTTCATAGTCCCAGCTTGTAAACAACTCCTGACCTAGTGAGATAACATGCCTACACAAAGGGAGCAATGGGCTCTCAGAAGATGGTGAGAAGGAGAGTGTGGAACTGGATCATGGAATCAGGAAGAGTATGTGTAGAATGTACAGGTGATTAGGCTATCTCCTGAGTCTTCCAGGACTACCAGAAAAGCAGGAAATGACAGGGAGAGATTAACTGTCTTTGCCCTTCTCAAGGTGATTTTTATGGCCACCTCACACCCTGCTCTGTGAAAGTTGCTTGGATTTGGTTAAGAGTGGGAACAAAATCATAAGCAGAGTACCATGGTATATGCACATTTAGTTTGCAAGCCTGAATTAAAGCTGTGTTGTTGTGTTTTTGTGTTTGTTTTTTCCCTTTCCAATGGCAGCCAATTTTAGAATCAGGAGCTGTAGAGCTACTTTGTGGATTAACCCAAAGTGAAAATCCTGCTTTACGAGTGAATGGAATTTGGGCTCTTATGGTATGTTTCCCTCTTCTATGTATGTCATCATTTACAAAGAGAATAGAGCTTTTTCAAAGGTAAAACTAAAGAACATGTTATTTGAAACATCTGGATTTTTTTTTAAATCTTGCTCTTTTAGTCCAGCTTTCTAATGACCTAGGACCTAGAAGACTCCATATTCAGCTTTCAGATTCATATATAAGCAACTTACTTGGCCACTGTGTGCCTCTATTCTCCTATTTATTATTAAGGAAAGTGGGAAGATGGTTAAACTTGATGTACCTAATTTTGGGAAACAGATTTTCCTCATCATTAACATACTGATACATGTATAGGGCTACCGACATTACAAAACACTTTTGTGTCTCCTTTGCTTTTTAAAAATTTTATTTTTAAATTACAGTTTACATTTAATATTATTTTGTATTAGTTTCAGGTATATAGAATAATGGCTAGATAATCATATATTTTACATAGTGATCCCACTCCCCACCCCGGATATTTCAAGTGCCCACCTGGCACCATACATAGTTATTACAATATTATTGACTGTATGTCTGTTCTGTACTTTACACCCCCATGGCTATTTTGTATGTGTCTCCTTTGCTTTTTATAGCAACTTTGTGAAATAAGCTAGGGAGATGTATATTTTACAGGTAAGTAAACTAAGGCACAGAGTGATTAAATAACTTATCCATGGTGCATATGCAGAATTGGTGCATCAACTGTTTCTAGGAAATGATTTGTAATCAAAGTTTTTAAATTTATAACTGTGAAGCCAAAGAACCATTTATCCTTAAAATTAATAAAGTAAAATTCATTGAAATAAATAAAGTAAAATAAATTGAAATCCTATCCTACATAGCTTTTTTTAAAAAACACAATTATAGTAATTACAATTTAACTACCATGTACCAGACACTAGGCAGGTGTTTTATGCTTCTCTCTAATTCTTACTCTAAGTTATACCGGTATGTATCCACCTTACAGCAAGGACACTGGGACATTGGGAGGGTAAGTGAGTTGTCCAAGGCCTCAGAGCTAACCAGTGTTGGAAATGGGCTTGAACCTGTCCCAGGCCCATACTCTTCTCCCTGTGCCAGCTTATATCTGCTGTCTTTTCACATGAACTTTGGGATGGAAAAAGAATCATCTAAGAAGGTACTGAATCCAGTAGCTTCACACTTATTTTTCTCCTTAACTTGGCACCAGCTTTTAACACTTCTCCTTGTTGAAACTCCTTCCTAGGACTTAATTTCTTTTCTGCCTAGCTTCCTCTTTAACAACCTTCTCAGGGTACGTTCCCCGGAATTTCAATTCCTGGTTTCCAGTTCCCTTTACACTTTGGTTTCAGGGGCTTCATCCACTCTCATGGTTTCAACTTCCACTAATAGATGAAGTGGCCAGGAATGACTTTCTGTTCCCAGTTCTATCACTTAACCTATGAGACTACATTTGAGGGCTCCCCAATGTGTATCATTTTAGTGTTGAAAATTGAATTTATCATCCCATTCCTCAAATCCACATCGACTATTCTTATTCTCATCAATCTCCATATCACCAGCCGCTGTGTTCTCTCTCCACTTAGTGTAAAACCTTGGAATCATCTTTGGCCTGGTCCCTTGACATCTCGCCTAGTACTGTTCTTACTCTTCCATGCCACCTTACATCATTAGGTATCTTGATCTTGCATACATCTTAACTCCTTAATTAAAAATAAGTTCCTGGAGGGCAGTAATCACATACTATAATAAGTCTCTAGTTTACAAGAGATTTTTGTACCCAAAGTTGATTTATGACTTATTTGGAATATACCACTTTTTTTTCCTTCGGACATGCAATTATAACTTCAGGTGAAGCTGAGATAATCCATAATGTGTCCAGAAAAGAGAAAATAGCTACTGGCCATCTGAGGTTGCTGGTGGGTTGCTTGGATACAGCCCTTGCCCCCTGGGTGACATGGCCCAGCCGTGTCAACACCCACGACAGGATTGTGAACACAACAGGTGTTTCATGCCAGTGAAGTTAACAAAACCCACTACTTATTTTCTTCCATAATAAACCTTCACTTTAAGTCATCCTCAACATGCACGGCACAGTATACGTAGTTGTTAATGGTCATTTTGTTATTAAAATACACAGAAAGCTGTGTATTTTACACAGCTACCTTATTGTTAACCATAAGGATAATCTCAAAAGTAATAATGGATTTTGAATTTATTTGAGAAATCTTAACACACTCCAATGTCAGTGTCAGGAAGCAATCATATTGCTAATAAAGGAGTATATACAGAAGTGACCGTTGTTTTTCCCTTGACAGACAGAATTACAATTAACAGGAATCAGAGAAATAATGTGACTTATACTTAAGGATTTTCTGCAGATCCTATTAGTACTTTGATAATAATCAGCATTACTAGTAAAGTATAATAAAACAAATGTAAACATGATTCTTGAAATTTCTTTAACCCTTTCAGAATATGGCATTTCAGGCTGAACAAAAAATAAAAGCAGATATTTTACGAAGCTTGAGTACTGAACAGCTATTCCGGTTGTTATCAGATTCAGATTTGAATGTGCTGATGAAGACACTGGGGCTTCTTAGAAATCTCCTCTCTACTCGGCCTGTAAGTAAAATCACTGAGGTTTCCAGATTGGCTCCCCCTGCATATGCATTGTGAAACATTGCCCTCCCTTTCCTCTCCAAGTGTGATCGAAAAACTTCTTCCCAGAGAGGCGAGGACATGATATCTAGACCTGTCACCTTCAGAGGTATTCTAGGAGCTGCTTCACCAAAGCACCACCTGACCTTTTCATTCCTGCACTGCCCGTCCTGTCTCCGTCCCCTTCTTCCTTGCGTACGAGCCTGTCATAATTCGTTATTCTTACCTGGTTTGCTGGCCATGGAGGGTTCTCTTACGGCCTAATCCGTTATCTCTGAGGCCTCTGATTCTTGCACTTTAGAGAAGCTCCCTCAGTGCCATTCCGTAGACATACACCCCCTACCCCCCCCCCGCGCCCAGCCCACATGTACTGGATTGAGCTCTGAAGGTGTCATTGTGGAGGACAGTGGGTGTATGGAGGAGCAGGGGAAGCTGAGCCTTGCTCTGGGATCCCTCTCATTGTTCTCTAATGGACTCTGAGCAGCGTTGTCAGTGGCCCTTCATGTAGATAAAAAAACACAAGTGCTTCCTTCTCTGTGCCTCATTTGTTGTTGCTTTTATTCAATTTATTTAAACTAAAAGTAAAAACAACCAGTTCACCCACTTCCCCCCCCTCTCCCCCTCACCTCTGACAACCACAAAACTGTATCTGTATCCATGAGCTTAATGTTCTAATTTCTATAAAAATATTTGTTTGTTATTATGTATTATTATTTATATATCACTTTTTTTTAAGTCATCTTTGTACATTATGCCCCAGATAGCAAGTGTATCTGTACCATGTTGTCCATGTCTCTCTGGCTTCCCCCATCTCCTTCACCCATTTTTTAAAACATTTTATTTATTTATTTTTAGAGAGGGGAAAGGAGGGAGTGAAAGAGAGAGAGAGAGAAACATCAATGTGTGGTTGCCTCTCGAGTGGCCCCCACTGGGGACCTGACCCACAACCCAGGCATGTGCCCTGACTTGGAATCAAACTTGCGACCCTTCGGTTCACGGCCCGCATTCAATCCACTGTCCTCCACCCATTTTTATGTGCCTGTTTTCTTTAATATGTTTGGGCTTGAGGATCCCATGTGATTGTAATTCTATATTCTATCAAGACGAGTCTATGCTCTCTTCATTTTCGAGTCATCAAAAAAAATGTTGAAGGCAAAATACAGCTTTAAAATGTAATACACACTGTTCTTTAATATCTGGTTCTATATGCTATGGTGTTCTCTTTGAAGTAGTTGTGTATTTAGAAGCCTTCTGTTATATCCTATGGTTTGTTCCTTTGTTCCCCAAAAGATAATTGTGAATTTCCCATTGTTTTGCAGCATATAGATAAAATAATGAGTACTCATGGAAAGCAGATTATGCAAGCCGTCACTCTTATTCTGGAAGGAGAACATAACATTGAAGTCAAAGAACAGGTACGTGTTCCCTTTTTTTGAGGACTATCTTCTGATTATACCAAGAAAGGTTTTCTACCACCCTTTCAACTCTCTTTAAGAATTCTTCCCTCTGAAACAGAGAACATGACCGGAGTTTACAGTTTCACCCTCCGTGTCAGGTACTGTACACGCTGTCTCTGTCTCCACAGGGACAGCCGCCTTCAGTCATTCTGGACTGAATCCTTTCTTTAGGGTTCACCATTTCTAGCCCTTTCTACCACCATGCTCTGACCTCAAATTCCTGCAGCTCCCTGATAAAATAATCCCTTATGCTGAAAAAAATTTTTGTGTCTTTATTCTTATACCTTTCTGTTCTTTATTTGTATCCCTTACCCCTACTTTTTATTGAATTTCGGTAGGGCAGGTTTAGGGTAGGCAAAAAACAAACAAAAAACAGAAGCTATGTGTTCATGAGAGGGCATTGTGGGAAATACTTTTCTATAATTTCCTGCAATTTATTATAAGACTTTTAACATAGTACATATTTTATTTTACAATTTTAAAAATCACCTGCATACTTAAAATTTTAACACAAGATCTGAGGTAAAGATAATGTTCAACTATCTAGCATAGGTGTTGGCTATGGGTGTGTTTACTTTCAAAATTCATTGAGCTATACACTTACACATATGGAAGAAACTTGCCAAGTTCGTCAGTTCTGGAGTTAGAGTCATTCAGCAGGCTTTCGAAGAACAACCCAGAAAGTCAGAGTGGTAGAACTTACTAGCTGAGATTGAATTTGTGAGCAAAAAAAAGGTGATACATTTGACAAAGTTGTTTTAAGATGGATACTTTAGATGATTTCCCTTAAAATTTAATAACAACTGTTTTTTGGTGAACAAAAATTTAACGCAGAAAAAGTACAATTTCATAAGCATCACTGAAATTAAGTCAATTGAGATTTATTACTGGAATACAACAATGAGGTACACACATTGTTCAAAAGAAATTTTATACCTGGAGAGCATAGGAATGAATATCATGTATTAAAGACAGCTTACCTAGGTAGAATTCCACTAACCTGAAAAGTGAAGCAAGGTAAGGCAAGATTTGGGTGAGGCCAAAAGAAAAGACCAACAACATCGACAGTAATGTGTTTTGGCAGAACACAAATAATATGCTTACAGATTTTGGTGATGGTTTAAAAGTAGGCAGCTATGGAAAGCTTAAACTGGTTGTTAGCTAGAAGTTTAATATCTCCCAAAAGCATCTGATAAATTTTGTTTTCTTTTTTATTAAGGTGTGTTAATATAAAATTAGCTGCATATATTTAAAATGTAGAATGTGATAAACATGCACATACTGTGAAATGACCACTGCCTTTAGATCAGGGACAAGACAGTTCTTACCAACAACCCTATTCAACATGATGCAGAAATTCCTACCAAGCACGGTAAGGAAAAAGGGAAAAGAAAAAATGCATACAGGTTGGAAAGAAGGAAAACTATTCCCAGAGACATGAATTTCTATGTGGAAAATGCTGTGGACTCACAGAAAAGCTAGAGCTAATCAGTGATTTAAGCAACGCCACAAGATATTGTAGAAGAATCAACTGTAGTTTTAGATAGTAGCAGTGAACAAATAGAAATTGGAATTTTAAAAACAGTACCTTTACAGGATCTCAGGAAAAAAATGAAATACTTACATAGAAATCTCTCAAAACAGGTGCAGGATCTATGTTGAAAACCCAGGACCAAAATAAATGGAGAAGTATATACTATGTTGAAATGTCCGTTTTCCCCAAGTTGTTTATAGATTCAGTACAGTCCTAATAAAAATCCCAGCATGACTTTTAGTAAATATGAATACAGATGTAAATATCTGAAACCTCTTCCTTTAGGTATAGATTGTAAAATCTCTTGGAAAGGCAAGGGAACTAGAATAGCCAAAACAATTTTGCAGGGAGAAAAAGAATAAGGTTGGAGGATTGACAATACCTGCTTTCAAGACTTAACTATGAAAGTAATGTAGTCATGACAGTGTGTTGTTAGCACATGTAGGTAAATAAAACAGAATAGAATCTAGAAATAGACTCACACCGATATGGCCAGTTTATTATTGAAGATGCAAAGGCAGTCCAGTGGAGAAAAATGGTCTATTCAACAAGTGGTGCTGTAGGGAGGTAGGGGCAGGTCAAAGAGGGTAAAGGGGAGATAAATGGTGACAGAAGGAGACTTGACTTTGGGTGGTGAACACACAATACAGTGTACAGATGATGTATGATAGAATTGGACACCTGAAACCTATACAATTATATTAACCAATGTCACCCCATGCAAATGGCATGATAGCAATTGCCAAAAAAAATAACTTTGAACTCTATTTTATACCTTACACAAAAATTAACTCAAAATAAATTGTAGACCTAATGTAAAAGGTAAAACTATACACTTTTAGAAAGAAATGCCAGAGAAAATCTTAGAGATCTTAGATTAGACAAAGAGTTCTTAAATATGACACTAAAAACATCATCTAGTAAAGGCAAATGGATTTCATCAAAATGTAAAACTTCTGCTGTGTGTAAGGCACGGTTAAGGGAATGAAATGACAAGCCCTCCACTGAAAGATCATTTAACTGACCAGTGGCTTGTGTTCGGAATATATAAAGAACTCTGAAAACTCAACAATAGAAAAGACAGTCTACCAAACATAAAAACTGGGCAAAAGATATGAACAGACACTCCCCAATGAAATTTCTCTACACATCACTTGGAATGGCTATAATTTTTAAAACAACAGACAACACAAGTACTAGCAAGGATGAAGACATCTGATGGGAATGCAAAATGATACATTTTGGAAAATAGTTTGGCACATTCTTATAAGGTTAAGCATATACTTAATAGACAACCCAGCAGTCCCATCCCTAGACATTCATTCATGCAAAATGAAAACCTGAGACTTCCGGCCAAGATGGAGGCATAGGTAGACACACAGTGCCTCCTCGCGCAACCAAGATAGGGACAACAACAATTTAGAAACCAAATAACAACCAGAAAATTGAACTGTATGGAAGTCGGACAACCAAGAAGTTAAAATAGACCTGTTCATCCAGACCGTTAGGAGGGGTGGAGTCGGGCAGCCGGGTGCGGGTTGCGGCACGGGGAGTAGAGAACATTGGGACTGGGCGCGTAAGGCATCTGGGGCACACAAGACCACAGCAGGTGGACCCAGAGCGTGCAAGCGGCAGCTGGGAGACCCCGGCTGAGGGGTGGCAACCGGCAGACCCAGTGAGGTGGGAATTGTGAAGTGAGGCACTGCGTGCAACCCAGGATCACAGTGCTGGGAAATAGAGCCTCGGGATACTGATTGAAAACACCTGTGGGGGTTGAGGCATAGGGAGAGACTCCCAGACTCACAGGAGAGGTCCTTGGAGGGTCCCATGGGGTGCACAGGCCCACCCACACGGGAATTGGCACCAGAGGGGCCCAGTTTTCTCGGGGGAAGCGGTGGAGGGGACTGAGGTCCGGCAGAGTGGAGCAAGCACCATTGTTCCCTCTCGAACCCCGCCCCCACATACAACGTCACAACCCAGCGACTGGGGTGCCCAGCCCTGGTGAATGCCTAAGGCTCCGCCCCTCATATGTAACAGGCGCGACCAGACTAAAGAAGCGGGGGGAGGTGGCTCAAACAGAATTGAAAGCCCCTCAAGTGATACTTTTAAGCAAAAGTGATACTTTTAAGCAACCGAGAGATAGCCAACCTATCAGGTGCATAGTTCAAATCAATGGTGATCAGGATGCTCATAGAATTGGTTGATTTTGGTTGCAAATTACATGAAAAAATGCAGGCTACAATAAGAGAAATGAAGGAAAATGCACAGGGAGCCAATAGTGATGGGAAGGAAACTGGGACTCAATCCAATAGAGTAGACAAGAAGGAAGGAAGAAACAACCAAACAGAAAAGAATGGAGAAATAAGAATTCAAAAAAATGAGGAGAAGCTGAGGAGCATCCAGGACATCTTTAAACATTCCAACATCTGAATTATAGGGGTACCAGGAGAAGAGGAAGAGCAATAAGTGGAAAACTTATTTGAACAAATAATAAGGGAGAACTTCCCCATTCTGGCAAAGGAAATAGACTTCCAGGAAGTCCAGAAAGCTCAGAGAGTCCCAAAGAAGTTGGACCCAAGGTGGAACACACCAAGGCACATCATAATTACATTACTCAAGATTAAAATGAAGGAGAGAATCCTAGAAGCAGCAAGAGATAAGGAGACAGTTAACTACAAAGGAGTTCCTATCAGACTGTCAGCTGATTTCTCAAAAGAGACCTTGCAGGCAAGAAGGGGCTGGAAAGAAGTATTCCAAGTCATGAAAGGCAAGGACCTACATCCTAGATTGCTCTATCCAGCAAAACTTTCATTTAGAATGGAAAAGCAGATAAAGTGCTTCTCAGATAAGGTCCAGTTAAAGGACTTCATCATCACCAAGGTCTTATTTTATGAAGTGTTAAAGGGACTTATCTAAGAAAAAGGAGGTAAAAAACATGTATAGTAAAATGACAGCAAACTCACAATTACTAACAACCACAACTAAAACAAAACCAAAAGAAACTAAGCAAACAACTAGAACAGGAACAGAACCACAGAAATGGAGATCACATGGAAGGTTAGCAACAGGGGAGTGGGAGGAGGAGAGAGGGGAAAAAGGTACAGAGAATAAGCATAGATGGTAGGTAGAAAATAGACGGGGAGGGTAAGAATATTATGGGAAATGTAGAAGCTAAAGAACTTATGACACATGGACATGAACTAAAGGTGGGGAATATGGGTGGGAGAGGGTGTGCAGGGTGGAGGAGAGAGTAGGGGTAATGGGACAACTGTAATAGCATAATCAATAAAATATTTTTTAAAAAAATCTATGTTCACATAAAAACCTGTATGTAAAAGTTTATGGCAACTTTATTTGTAATTACCGAAAACTAGAAACAAACTAAACATCCCTCCACTGGGTAATGACTAAACAAACTGGTACATCCACATAATGGAATACCAGTCAGCAATAAAAATGGACATATGAAAATTGGGGGGAGAGAAGAGATAGAAGTGCTGTGTATGTTGAATGCAGATTGTAGTGGCCATTATAAGACTCCGTACATTTTTCAAGTAAAACTAACAATGAAAGAGTGAATTTTACTATACTAGTGAATTTTACTATTTTACTAAAATCCTGTTGGGATTGTGGTTGCACTGAATTTGTAGATCAATTGGAGGAGAAGTGATATCTTAATATAGAGTCTTCCAATTTGTGAATATAATATCCTACCAATTTAAGTTTTCTTTAATTCTTCTTAGCAGTATTTTGTAGTTTTCACTATATAGGTGTTACACTTCTTTTATCAAATTACTCCTAAGTATACCATGTACTTGATGCTGTTGCAAGTGGTATTTTTAAAAAATTTGTTTCCAATCACCCATTGCTGGTATATAGAAATACAGCTTTTGTATATTGACCTTCAATCCTGCAGTCTTGCCCAACTCACTTTTCAGTTTTGCTGTGGATTACTTAGAATTTTTTACAAATGATGTCATACACAAATAAAGACAATTTTACTTACTACTTACAATCTTTATGCTATTGCATCATTTCTCTTGTGTTATTGCTCTAGTACAACTTCTGTACAATGAATAGAAGTGGTGAAAGTGGACACGTTTGCCTTATTCCCAAAGTTAAAGGAAAGGCATTCAGTCTTTTATCGTTAAATATGTAAGATGTGATCTTTCATACCTTTATTAGGTAGAAGAAATTCCTTTCTCTTCCTAATTAGTTGAGAGTTTATATCATGAATCAATTTTTTGGCATCTATTAATATGTTTTGTTTTAGTTTGAATAATATGGTGAATTCTACTTACTGGGTTTTAGCTGGCAAACTAATCTTGCATAACACCCACTTGGTCATTATGTTTCATCCCTTACATATATTGTTGGATTCAATTTACTGAAATTTGGTAAGAAATGGCTCACATCTTTGTTCATGACAGAGTTTTCTTGTGATGTCTTTTTCTGGTTTTGATAATGGGGTAATGCTTGCCTCAGGGATAAGGTAGAGATGCTCCTTCAATTTTCTGCAAGAATTTGTGAAGAATTGCTATTCTATTTTAAATGTTGGTAAATATACTAGTGAAGCCATCTGGACCTGGCATTTCTTTTGTGGAAAGGTATTCACCTGCAAATTCTGTTTCTATTTATTTATTTATTTATTTATTTATTTATTTATTTATTTAGAGAGGGGAAGGGAAGGAGAAAGAGAGGAGGAGAAACATCAATGTGTGGTTGCACACCTCTTACTGGGGGCCTGACCTGGCTTGCAACCCAGGCATGTGCCCTGTCTGGTAATTAAACCAGTGACCCTTTGGTTTATAGGCTGGTGCTCAATCCACTGAGCCATACCAGCCAGGGCCAAATTCTGTTTCTTTATAGATATAGGACTATTCAGGTTATCTATTTCTTCTTGGGTGAGCTTGCATATTATGCGTCTTTGAAGAAATTTGTCCATTTCATCTACATTTTAAAATCTGTTAACATAAAATTGTTCATAATATTCTCTTACTATCTTTTTAAAGTTTGTAGTATTCTTTGCAGTGTCTCCTCTTTTGTTCTTTATTTGGTGATTCCTTTTTTCATGATCAGTCTGACTAGAGGTTTATCAATTTATCAATCTCCTCAAAGAAGCACCCTTTGGTTTCATTGACTTTTTTTCTCCCCTGTTATTTTCCTATTCTCTCTCTCAGGTGTTGAAAAGCTGTTTCTACAAAGAGCAAGATAGGTATTTTAAGTCTTGCAGGCTATTCTGTCTCCGTAGCAACTGTTCAGCTGATTTGGCCTGAAAGCAGCTATAGCCAATATGTAAGCAAGTAAACATGGCTCTCTTCCAATAAAATTTCATTTACAAAAACAGGCAATAGGTTGGATTTGGCCCACAGGCCATAGTTTGTCAATTCATACTCTGTATCTTTGATTTTCAGTTGTTCGTGTGTGTGTGTGTGTGTGTGTGTGTGTGTGTGTGTGTGTGTGTGTAGCTTTTATCTCTGCTGTCTATATCATGTAAAACTGGCTTGGCCTTCAAACTAATAGATCTCTTTAAGATTTGATTTCTTATCTCCAGAGGAATATTTACAGTAGGGGTTGTGTGGGCTTCAAAGCAGAACTGTAGTTCACTCTGCCATGCTATACAAGCCTGCGGATGCGTGGCTATATTTTAACACTCTGAGAAGGGAAATCACTCACTTATCTTGCTGACCCAGCCTATTCTGAGGAATGTGTCCATAAAGCCTCCCTTATATTCTGTCTTACTACTGGGGTAGTTCTAAAAGGTGTTTGTCATTCATTTTTCCTCTTCCTAGGAATACCTAAGTTATGAAGCCCTTGAAATTCTTATTCGTGGTTAGAGTCATTTCTATTATTCCCTCTCAGGTACTCTGGTCAACTCATAGACTGAGTCTTTCTGGTGAGGAATAGATGGAAAATTGAGAACAGGAGAAAAAGTACCTATGATTCTTCCACATGCTGCCCCTCCCCACCTCTTAGCCAGGCTTTCCTTCTGTTCCCATCACTTGACTTTACTCTCTGCAGTTTGGTTTTGTGTTAATCAAGCCTGGTAGCACATCACTGATGAGGATGGGCTCACTACCACTGGTGAGTATCATCCTGCTGGCTTTTTCTTGGAAGGTGGGATTATTGTAAAGCTTCCTTTTCTGAGCCTTCCTATAACCACATGAAGAAAGAGCAGAACTAGAAGAGTCTTTATTTTGCCTTCATCACTGAGGCCAATGGTGCCAGACATGGACTGCAAGAATGTTAAGACATAGGCTAGGAAGGGGGAAGAGAGGAGTGGATACTCACTGTATGCAGTGACCCAACAGGGCTATAATGTAGGATGAGCAACCATCAGTTACATGAGTCTGATGTCATCTTGAACTTGGACCCCTTAAAAACAGTTGACTATCAGCTCCTTTTCAAACTAATTACTCCTGTGAATTCCATTTGTTATGCTCATGTTTGTCCCCTCATAGGATTGCTCCCACAAGAGACTCACTAAAAGTACATACCCATTATTACTAATTTTCTTAGGCATAATGATAGCATTGTAGTATGTAGGAAAATGTCATTCTTAGTATATTCTAAAATACTTAGAGGTTACGTATCATGATAATTTTCAACTTTCTTTGAAATGGTTCAGAAAAAAAGTAAAAAAATAAGCACTTCCACAAACACACACATACATGCATGCACACACCCATACTCTTTAGAACAAATATGGTGCAGTGATTATGATGTTGAATCTATGTGGTAATATATGGATAGGTGTTCATTGTATTGTTTGTTCTAACTTTCTCAAAAATTAGTAATTTTTAATAATAAAAAGTTAGGGAAGAAAATAGTCCCAACCTGTTTATTCCCCTTACTGCTTCATCTGTCCTGAGAAATTCAAGGGTATTGTGCCTGCCAAGACTTCTGACAGACTCACCAGGTGCCAGATCACTTGGACATCTGGCATCTTCCCCAGGTCATCTGTCTCCCACTTCTGGGGCATAGTGAGATCTCTTCGTTATGACTTATTTGCCTCTGAGGGTGTCTTCCTCTAGTACCAATGCAGTGGTTGTCCTCAAGATGTGCGTCCTGCCAGCCGGCATGGGTGCACGTCAGGCCCACTCTCAGAGGAAGAGACTGGCCACATTAGCTGTCCTTCCGCTCTCACAGCCAGACCCGCAGGAGGCAGGATTAAAGTACAGGTGGAGGACTGCGGTAGGCATTCTGAGCCAGTGCTGGCCTTAGCAATTCAACAGACTTTACTGAGCACCTGCAATGTGTAGGCACTCCCCAGGGCATCAAGACGAGGCAGGAATAAGATGCACTCCCTAACTTTGAAGCCTTCACACAATTACATTTTACTGAGGTGTGGCTGAGATAAAAACAGACCCAAGAAAGCACAAAGCAAGCAGGCTTGCTTGAACTGCAGGTCAGGGAAGCCTCTTGGAGGGAGTGACACTGAGTCCAGGAGCAGCATCAGTCAGGAATCACACTAAGAAAATGATGAGAGGTGGGGCAGGGCGAGGGGTGCTTTGAATTCAAATAATTTTCTCCAACTTTAATCCACAGTTTGTTTCCCTGTGTTCCTCTAATAGGTTTCAGAAAAGTCAAGGTCCTAATTGCGCATGGATAGTGGACAGGGTTCAGGCCTTTCTCCGAAGGGCATGTTCTTGTGAGCAAGTAGCATTTGGGGGGGGACTTGGAACACTTCTGAAGCTTGCCCCAAAGAGACTGCCTCTTTGAAGAAACCTTGTGGGACAGTCACAAGAACTTCTTTTAGAAATGGAGTTTTTGAGAAAATAATAATAAACTTTTCCCTTTTATTTATGTGATAGCATGAGCTTTAAGACATGTGTGCCTTTGCCCAGCAATGTCTTATGCCCAGAAATACACCACTGAAATGTGTGGGTTCCTTAGGCATTGTTACTCTTGTTGGCAGTGAGGCCAGGGGTGAGAAATCAGGGCATCAGACTGGAACCTATAAGAATCCAATCTGGGAAACTGCCTGGATTCCTGAGAGAACCGAGTCTTGGGACTTCAGAGTTTTCCTGATCGCTGGCTCTTTGTTCTTTTCCAGACACTGTGCATCCTAGCCAACATAGCAGATGGGACAACAGCAAAAGAACTCATTATGACCAATGATGACATCCTGCAGAAAATCAAGTATTACATGGTAAGCCTTGGTTTCCTTTCACTGCTCTACACTAGTTGCACATTAGAAGGCAGGGACTTCTAACAGATTCAAGGAACGCTCTTCTGTCCTGAAGAAAAAGAAACAAGAGCAAGTCCTAGGAGCTTGTGCCATTGGCAGTATTACCATCCATCCTGCTCCCCACCCTTGTCATCTGATTGCCTCCCTCTTACTCAGTGAAGACTTGGGCGTTTGGCTTTCTCCCAGCATCCCCCAATCCCTGTCTTCCCTCAAGGCTTTAATTTTATGTGGGTGAACCCTCTAGCCCTCTGACACCTGTTCTTTGATCTGGTTACTGTCAAATATATTTTGCCACCTACTTACAAACATTTCAGCTACCAACTCTTGTGATGATACCCTTGATCTTATCACCAGGAATTGCCAGTTGCCAAAATGTGGATATCAAACACTCGTCCTCTTTTCACTCTGTTGACGTGATGTGCCAAAGCCCTGACTGTGGGTGAACCTGTGTGCTCTTTGCTTGCCATGTCAGGGCCATCAGCCGTGGAGAATGGCACAGAGCCAGGCTGACTGGTTCATGTTAAATTCACATCTACAACCTGGAGAGGCACTCAGCACTGCCTGGCTCCCTCCCATGATTATCCAGCAAGCTAGCACCCTCATTCTCCACAAGAATAGGTTCTTACCTTCCATTCTGTTTTATTTTTTAAAGATTTTATTTACTTATTTTTAGAGAGAGGGGAAGGGAAGGAGAAAGAGAGGGAGATAAACATCCATCTGAGGAACATCAATGCATTGCCTCTTACATGTGCCCTGACCGGGGACCAAACCAGAAACCTAGGCATGTACCCTGACCAGGAATCCAACCAACAGCCTTTTGCTTTCTGGGGAATACCAAGACTCAGTCTTGTTATTTTTGGATATGTTCCTATAAAAATAAGAGTAATTTAAATCAGATAATCAGTAGATGAAGGGACAGATACAAAATATATATTCATCCAATTATTGGCTGCTAGTGACTTGAACATTTCCTAATAGACATAAACCATAGCTTTAGCCACAAGCTTAGAATTGCCTTATGTCAGTGTGGCCTGAATGATAAATTACAAATGGCACCTATGGCCCTGGAGGTGTTTGGTGTGGCCAGCCAGAGTGTATCTAAAATTTGAAGGTAATGTCTTGGCAAGGCTTCACTTCAAGCTTGCCAGATCCTTCACCACTTCCTATTGTCTTTAGTCTAATGCATTCACCCGTCAGTGCTAACTTTGTGGCCCCTCAAGACATTTGAGTTTGAACCCCCTGCTTCAAACCTTTAGGCTGTTGGGATTATTTATAGTGTGTCACACACACACAAAAATAATTTAAAACGAGATTACCTCCATTTTTATTTTCCTTTTCTGCATCAAATAGGGTCATTCACATGTCAAACTGCAGCTTGCCGCTATGTTTTGTATATCAAACCTCATATGGAATGAAGAGGAAGGTAAGAGATTGGTGAAATTTGTCCTGAAGAAAATTATGGGGAAAAAGTACTGCTCAGGGAAGGCAGCACCCGTCCCTGAGATCCTGGGTGTAGAGGCACCACTCCCCAGGCCCCAGGCACCCAACAGCATCGCCTTGGGAAACTGTGGGAGGAGCCTAAGTCAGCTGACAGTTACCACCAAGCCCCCACCTTGCAGTCTACACTGTAGAAGTAAGTGGCAGGCCCTGCCCTTGAGAGAGCTGAGGAGGAGGACAGTGAGACGCACTTGGAGAAGGTGAGAGGTGAGAGTGAGTGGGAGGCTAGGCCTTAGGCTGTGTGCAGAGGAACACATGTAAGGACTATGGGCAAATAAGCCGAGTGGAGAAGAGGGTGCCATGGTGAGAAATGAAAACCGCAGTGTGACTGTGAGGCGGTCATCCTGTCAGGAGGCTTCTGTTGGTCAGGAGTTCTCCACCTTGGCTGTATATTGAAATCTCCTGGGGTATTTTGGCATGAGACCAATTAGTTCAGAATTTGAAGAGTGGACTCCAGGCATAAGTTTTTTAAAACTCTGCAGATGATTCCAACCCCCCAGATACAGGAGAGCACTGGGCCTCAGTGCTGGGTTGGCTGCATGAAAGTCACTTGGGGAACTTCTTAAAATGTAGACTTCTGGGCTCCACCCCTAGAGATTCTGGTTCACTGGGTCTAGAGGGGATCAGTGCATGAGTGAGTCACTGCAGCTCTTCAGTGGGGAGGAAAGACTCTAGGCGGATTACCCTGCTGAGCAACTGTATCCAGAACAAAGGAGGAGGAGGAGAAACCGGATTCTAAGTACAGGCCCTAGAGTCCAAGTACCATCCAGGCCCCAGGGATATAAGGCTCTGCTCAGGAGGTTCTAGTCTAGTTGGAGGACAGACCGGAGCTATGTGAAATTGGAACTACCACGTGCTAATGAGATGCAGCACGAAGCCCTGGGAGGTCAGTGGAGGGAGGAAAAGAAAACAGAGAGGAGAATAAGATCTGTTTGGGGTCGGAAGAACCTGGTTTGGTGTACCCAGAAAGAAATGATAAAACTGGAGCCAGATGACAGAGGACCTTGTGCCAGGCTGGAAAATCTGACCTGAGCCTAACAGTTCGTGGAGAAAATAATCGAGGAGCAGAACTCAGGGTAGATTGCAGGAGGGAGGGTCTAGAGGCAGAGAGACCGGTTAGAACGCCATTGGAGCATCCGAGCAGGAGGGGTTCCAACCACACAGAGAAGGGGAGGCCAAGGCGGTGGGAGGGTGGAGAGCAGAGGACACTGGCAGGCTCTAGATAGTTGTCTGTACACCAAGGAGAGCAGCTGCCTGGGTCATGTGCCCAGTAACCTGTTAGCTTTAATCTCTTAGGTTCACAAGAACGCCAGGATAAATTACGAGACATGGGCATTGTAGATATTCTACACAAACTGAGTCAGTCACCAGATTCAAACCTTTGTGACAAGTGAGTATCAAAAGGGCCTTGCTTTGGGGCACATTGGATTCTTTTATGAAGAATTTGAATTGTTTAGTAATTAACGTGGCCAAACTTAAAATCTTTTAGATTCTTGGATTCCCTTTTTAATTTTCTGTGAACCAACTATGACATTTGAGTAAGAGATAAAACGAATAATTAGCAAATTAATAAAGATCCTCATGTTACTCTGAATTAGCACGAACCTGGGCCAACTTAGTAGGTATCTGGAGAGAATCCAGAAGCTACTCCTTTTCATCCCCATAATCATTAGAATAGAAATGCATGTGGCCTTTTGGAAAGCAGAAAGGAAGGTATTAATTAATAAAACATTGACCCAACACCTGACAGTGCAGCTGTCCTGTGCTGGCCCGGCTGCTGGGGATACAGCAGTAACTACTAAGGAGTCCTGTTGTCAGCGAGCTCACCCTTTACTGCAAGAGGCACGAGTCATCTCCAGAGATTCCTCTAACCTCAGAATAGCCAATGTTTTCTTCCGTGCTGTGTATACTGCTCTATAACACAGCCTTCACTTTTCAGCCCACTTCTGTGCATTACCATAACGATAGCAAGGAACATCAACTCTTTCATTCTCCTACTCTTAAGCATGGCTCAGAAGCCCGCCATGGTTTGGCTCTGCCTTTCTCCCCTGTGTCCCTCCTCCAACCCCGTGCCCACCCTTCCTGCCCTCTTCCAGTATCACACTTTCATGTTCCATCTTGACTTGCCATCTCAGTCCCCTCTCTTCAGAATCCCCCATTCATTCAACAGACATTTGTTTGTTTTATAATACTAACCTCTACCAGGCACTGTTTTAGGCATCAGTGATATAAAGGTGAATAAAATTAATGAAGTCCGTGTCCTCGTGGCACTTACATTCTAGTACAACGACAGATAATAAGCAAACAAATGTGTAATGTGCTAGCAGGAAATGAGATGTACTATGATTAGAAAGCAAGTTGAGGGACTGGAGAATAAGAAAAGTTCTTTTCGTACAGATTAGTCAGCAAAGGCGTCTCTGAGGATGTGACATTTGATCAAAGACCTGGATGAAATACGAGTCTGCCAGGCAGATGTTTAGAGGAAGAGTGTTCCAGGCAGAGGGGCAGTGAGTTCAAGGCCCTGAGGCAGTAATGAGCTTGGCATGTTCAAGGAAGAGCAGGAAGACCCCAGGGGTTGGAGAAAAAGAGAAAGGGGGAGAGTGAGAGAATTGGGCTCAGGGAGGTGGTGGGAGCAAGTAAGGAGCCTCGTAGCCAATAGTAAGGACTTTGGATTTTATTCAGAGTTTAATAGGAAGTCATTGGAGAGTTCTGAGCAAAAGAGACATCTGATCTGAATTTTTAGAAGATCATTGTGGAGGCTGTGTAGAGAATCCCCTGTAATAGGGCAAGAACGGAAACAAGGAGAACAGTTCAAGGCTATTGTCATGTACATAAGAGATGAGGGTGATAGTGGTAGAAGTACTGAGAAGTGGTCAGATTCAGGATTTAATCTAAAGGTAGAGGCAACAAGCTTTATTCAAGAATTCAATATAGGATGTTAAAGAAAAAGAGGAAAGAAAAATGCCTAGAGTTTTAGCCTGAGCAATTGCATAGGAGTTGCCATTTACCAATACAGTGAAGACTGTAAGAGAAGTGGACAGGGTAGGGAGAATCAAGAATTCTTATTCGGGCATGCCAACTTTGAGATGCCTGTTAAATAAACAAGGGACTTGGAAGAGTGGGGCTGCTAGTATAAATTTGGATGATATATAAAACCATGGAACTTGATGAGGTCACCGAGGGAGAATAAGAGAGGAGAGAAGATAGGAGAGCTAAGGACCATGCTCGGGGGTCCTTGAACATTTAGGAGAAGATGTGGAAGATCAGCACAGGAATGGAAGAAGCACCCATGAGGCAGGCAGAGATCTAGGTGCATAGGTGTCCTGAAAGCAGAAGAGAAAGCCTAGGCAATGGCCATTTATCCTTCAAAACTCCAGTAAGTCTTGTCTGATATATTTTCTACTCTAACCCCCAGCCTATGCCAGGGACCCCTTCTGTGCTCCCATTGTTCCCATAGAACATATCACACTGTGTCATAGCCAATGGCCTGCTTGTCTGATCCACCAAAGGGAAGAGGCATTTGGTAACTCCTCCTCGAATGAACGTCTGTGCCAGACTGGAGCACACAGAGCTGGGCCTTTGCCTTCCTGAAGCTTTTTATCCAATTTGTTAAGGAAGAGAAAGAAATCCCTGAGTAACTAACTATAGCCCAAGGCTGCTGCTCAGATGAGTGTCTCATCAAAGGCAAGTGAAAGCCAGCCATGAAGTGAAGGCTGGATTTGAGCTGTACCTTGGGAGCCTCCACCTCCACCTCCACAGCAGTAGTAACAGCTGCTGGCTTAAGTGATGGGCTCTGTCAGCCCATCCCTTCTGGCCAAGAGCCAGATCATTCCCTGAGCAGCATCCTTACATTTGCTCAGAAATGATGACAGTTCTGCTGCAAATCACCTTTGGGATGACCTGGAACACTACAAGAGGCCACAGCAGCATGATGTAGGATAGGTTTGAGCCCTGGCCTACATGGCTTAGACCAGTCTGGTATTGTTTCTTCAGATTTGTATGGCACGTAAGTTTTCAACAGCTACTAAACTTCAACCTCTAGAATAAAGGCCTAACTGCCCTACCTAAGTCCGTCTAAGGAAAGATGACCTTGCTTCCTTAGATAATAATAGATAGCAGAAACAGTAGGGGCATGGTCTCAGCTAACCTCTGAGGAAGATCCAGAAAGAATCTGAATTGGCATTTTTAAAGAATAATACAGAGTTTTGATCAAGACCCTCTTGTGGACATTCCCACCATGTCCCACAGTAAAGCCTATTATCTGAGGCAGACATCTCTCAGGTTTCTTCTGTCATTAAGGCTTTGGGAGCCTTTGACTTTCAAACACTTACAGGTGAGGAACTGTTGCTAACCAGCTGTCTCCACCCCAGGCTCAGAGGGCATCAGGTTTTGGGGGAGAGGTGGATGGTCATTCGGGGTAACATATGACATCAGTCACAAACTTGTTTCTGTAGGAAGATTTCCTTGTAAAACCCAGCTCACTCATAACTTGGAGACCGTCTTCTGATGGGTTGAACTATTGTAACTATTATCTTTATAGAGCCTTAGATAATTGCAAGAATATCCCTTAGTATACCACTTTTAAAACTAGATCATATCTATTACTTTGCTATACAGAAACCGCACTTGAGTCCAGCTTATTGCATGCCCGATCTACTTGCTACTTTCAACAGCTAATAGTAACTGAAAATGTTAGCCTTGCCTAGTTAACATAGAAGAGAAGGCCATTGCTAAAACCTGACTTCCTAATTCCCACAATTGCTGTGCCTTTAGAAACCCTACTAAGCTCATAACAGGAGTAGTAAAGGAGGCCTCCTCAGCCCTAGCTCCAGTCACTGCCACATTATACCTGGCCCTCTGCACCTAGTGAGCGTTCAGGCACCATAATACACACATGCCCCACATTGATCAGTGTCATCAGGAGAAGATGCGATAAGATCATAACCAGTTTTGAGGCATTGGAACCATGACGCTGCCTCATCCCATGAGCTCTTGGCCCCTTGCACGTACCTTCTAATCAGCACCTAAACACCTTCCTGGGTCGTTTCTAGTTTCGCAAACACTCAGCGTCCTTCACAGTGTCCTGTAGCACTAGGTAAAAACTGCATGGCAGTAGACCATAATTCCAGATCCGTGACAACTGTTTGCCAGTGACAAAGGAAAACTACCATGTCGCTGGGCTATAGCAGGTGTAAGAGCGAGAGCAGCCCTTTCTGAGAACCCCAGGAGGGATGCAGGCAGCTAGGGTGAAAGTGTCTTCTGACTGCAGATTTCTGCCCCATAGGGCAGGTGCCTGGCTGGCCTCACCCCAGTTCACTTTGGGGAATCTAACATTTTAGACTTTCCCCACTACCATCTTCAAGCCCCAGGTTTTTCCCTCATTTATACTTCTGAAATGACGACCAAAGGAACTTTGTGATTCCAGGGCCAAGACGGCACTGCAGCAGTACCTGGCGTGACAAGAGCACCCTGGGCGCCTGTGAGCATCCCACATCCTTGTTAAAGGAAGTACAGGAACTAGCCTCATTTGATTCCTTCTATTTGCACAAGTCACCTTGGACTGCAGGGAGCTGTTTTGCAAAAGCAATTTGGTAGGCTTAGATCTCAAATTCATCTTGAGAACATATTTTTGAGGTAGTAATTTCCTCATAGGACTATTGTGTTTTGTTTTGGTTTGGTTTTTTTCCCGAGCTACCTGGACTCTTTATTAGAACAATCAATCGTTTTCCTTTGGACCTACAATTTTTTGCCTATGCTGCAGCCACTTTGTGAGTGAGAATGAATGTGTCTGTGTGTACACAGCTGTGTGTGTGTGTGTGTGTGTGTGTGTGTACGTGGGTCAGGATGAATGGATGTGTGGGGGGGGATATCTTAAATTTTTCTTTTCTTATTTTGTGTGAAAATCTCTTTTCTACAGATTTTCCAGGGTTTAAGCATTGCTTGCTGTATTAAAAAAAAAAAAACTTTACTGAATTATATACAGTTTGAATGAAATGTTATTTTAAAAACAAAACAATTGTTAAGTGTTCCATAAAGGTTATGTTGAATTTTGGTCAGATGAATATTTGTAAGTAAAAAATATATGCATTTCTGAACCTCAATTTACATAGATTTTCTTTATAAAAGAACAAAAAAATAAAAAAAAGAAAAAGGAAAGGTTGGCTATCGTTGGCCTGAATAACAGGCATGATACATGGTGCTGTGCAAAATAGTAAGCTAGCCTCTTACTGCCGTCAGTATCAGCCTGATTCAATAAGCTCTCCGACTTCCAAGTCAGCTAGACAAGGTGGAGTACAGTAAGGGGACAGATTCAGCTTAGGTCTTTTGAAGCATCAAAGGGAAATATAACTACTGATAGTGAAAGCCCAGCCATAACCCTGGTTCCTTGGCAGGAACTGGGCACCCAGAGCCTCCCAACTGCCCTCAATTCTGTCATTGGTGTAGCAGTATCTGGCAAGAGTTAGAACCAGTCATAGAACCTTATGCTCAAGCTAAAGTAGCTTATCACTTCCTGGAAACAAAGTCTGGTCGCCTTGTGCTTCCTGAAGCAGCATGTATCACTATGATATTCAAGAATGTTCTACAGACCCATCTGTGGAAAGAAGCCAAAAGCAGGATAGTTCAGAAAGCTGTTTTTCTCTTAGTGAAATGTGGCAAATTCCATACTAGTCCACTCAGGACTGCTGTTGAGTGTCCTTTTGGAAAATGGTGTAGAAATTTTAGTGAGAGATGTGGCTAAGACTTTTTCCTGCAAGAAGCCAAAAGCACTGAAGTTTGAAAGAAGGACAGGGATTCTCCCCAGGAGGACTGAAGATGAGTTCTTTTCACGGCAAGTACTGCTTAGCCCTTCTGCACCCCTTAGCTTGGCGTCTGCTCCAGCTGCTGCGTCAGCTTCAAGGTGAACTCAGCAGAGGTTGCTCTTGACTGTCTGAAGGTAGAACCAGCCTTCCTTTCCCTTTGTTAAAGAAAGTCAAAGGCACTGTGGTCAGGAAGTGCGGTCTGCGGCCCAGAAGCTTGCCATGAGTGCGTGCCACTGACGGGGTCCCAAGCCCACCAGCCACTCCTGATGAGGTTGCTTGCGTCACAGCCACCACATCACCAACCTGTACCTTCCTTGGAAGACTCAAATGTGTCTGATTGCAAATGAATGTTTTTAAATGTATTTAATGCAGTTCTTCCTGTTCTCAACATGACCACCCAAGATTCAAACACAGAGATTTCTAAGTTGTTCTTTTTTCAAACCAATTTTGATTTAAAAATCGATCACAACTGGCACTTGGGTTTTGTGCAGCTATCAGTGTGCTAAATGTGAGAAGACCCTTGGTTGGCATTTGAGACACAAAACACTATGGAGTTGGTATGTCAAAGTAGCAGGTAATAAATATAAAGAAACCAATAATGAATTGCTGAGACAATCCTGAACCCAGATAGCATCCGAAAGCTAAAGGCCCAATGAAATAATACTTTCACACTTCAACTCTGTGGATAAATCTTGCCTGTGGCTATAAACAGATGGTCAAAGAAAAAGTGCTTTACTATAATTAACTTTTCTGATTTGAATGAAGGAAAATGTATTTATTAAAACAAAGCTGTTTGCTGCTCTACACAGGTGCAGTGTTCAGTCAGCAGGGAGGTGGGAGGAATGGGGCTGATCTTGTGTCTTCACCCAAGTTCTCGACTAAGCTTCTCGCTCTCTCTAATACTGCATTCTGTTTCTCCTTTTGTGCCCTGATTGTAACCCAAAATTTATGAACTAGAAAAGAATGTCCAATTTAATAAGTTGCATTTTTTTCCTTGAGCACTTTATGCAGAACAACACATGTTCTTCTGGTAGTGTTTGGATGATATGATTTTAACACATGCTAATAAAAGCCAAGAAAGACCATGGCAACTTCTATAAAGGAGTCTGTTTTCCAAATGTCTAAAACATTAGGAAATATTAGAAGGTAATGTGTACTGGCTTCTGCAACCTGTGATTTTTGGTGAATAAGAAACCAGAAAGTGACTGCATTTCAGAGGGGGTGGCTGGTGCCCAAGGGTCACTACAGTTTCCGGGGGCCTCTGCGGCTGTCTGGGGGCCCCTCTCTTCCTGGCCTCCTGAAGGCCAGCAGACCCTTTCCAGGTGGCCACTCCCGCCCACCAGGATCTCCCAAAGTTGTGTCTGCCCCTTCCAACTTCTCTTCCCCTTTAGTATGCCACACCTCCACTGCCACCTGGACCTGGGCCCAAAGTTTGGCAAATGACCAGCTGCACAGCACACAAGCAGCTGCTGTCCCTCCGTGAGGATCCACAGGCACTTCACACCTGTGCCACCTTCTTTTCCTTGTCTCTAAAATGCAGACACACACCTCCTGTCTCTTGGTCTCACTAAAAATAGAGAGAAAGCCAAGGATCCCTGCCCCAGAGCATGGGGGCCGGGAGGTAGGGTGGGAAGGAGGGATGGTGAGGTGATTAGCAGGAGAGGGAATTCTCCTGTCACTGGGGAAACTTGGAATTGAGGCCTGAGAAAGGAGAGGAAAGGGGGACTGGCCCCAGACCTGACACAGAGCCGACAGGGAGCCATCTCAACACCTTGTCACCTGGGATAGAGGCTAGTGTTGCCCCAGCCCCTTTGTACTGACTTTCCCTCATCGCTGAGCGAAGAGGCACATGTCAGTTCCCAGCCTGAGGGAAGTTGTAGTCCATGACATAGCTTGAGAGAAAGCTGAGGGATACCACCCTCCCCACATTGAGGGCCATGTGCGGCCTACCTGAGCCCCATGCCTTTCTTCCCCCCTCTGTCTCTGCAGCCTCTGGCTGCTGACCTTGTCTGCCAGGCAGTCCACCCTGTCAGGTACTCACACCAGGAGCTGAGGGGCTTTAACACCAAGCAGTGGCCTTCCTGCAGCCCGTGGCTTCTGTGGGAGGAAGCTTGGCCCAGGGTCACTGCCACCAAGTCCCATCCTCAGAGAGGGGGGGCTGACATTTAGCCACTCTCTGAAACGGACTCTTCCCCACCATTACCACCTCCATTCCTTCTGCTGTGAACCTTCTGGATTCTGAGAAAAAACGCCGTACTCTGTAAAAGAAGGAGGGGTGTGTCAACACTCCTCCCACTCTGACCTGTCACCTAGTGCCCCCTGCGTTCTCCGTCCTGCCCTGCCCCACAGACCAACACTCATCGTGCCCCCACCCCAGGCTCACTTCTCTCACCTGCCCCTCCTCCCTCCCTGCTTTCAGAGGCTGTGGTCACTCCATTCCTCATCTCTCCAATGATGGCATATCCTGGCTTCCTGGCTTCTGGGAAGATCAGATAGCTGTCAGCTGGGTGCCCCCACCCCCAGCTTATTCAGAGCCACACAACACCCATGGTGTGGAAGACCAGGCGTAGGGCTCTAGTGGTTCTGGCATTTGCCAGCTCTGAGGTGGGCACAGAGCAATTGAGTCCCCCTCTTGAGCCCACTCGCAAAGGGGACAGCACATCCCCATGGTGGGCTGGAGTCCAGGGGTGGGAAACAGTGGATTCAACTTCCCTACTGTCTTGTGGGGGGTGGGTCCATTGTTTCACACGGGGGTCTACGTGCAATGGGCGTGGGTGTTCCCATCACAAGGGGGCTCTGGTCTCCACTTTCATGAAGCCCTACTCACCCCACCGGTCTCCAGTGCCAGCACAGAGTGCCTTATGCTGTGGGCTGCGGAAAGAGTAATGCCCCTGAGAAGAGCGGTCTTCTGGGCGCTCACTGCCCATTTAAAGAACTTCCAAGTCAGAGGAGTGAAGTTCTCTGGAGAAAGCCAGCAAAGGAGAAGGAAAATAGCTGACAGTCACCTCATGATAGAGAAAACCACAGCCTTTTGCTCAGTCAGAGAGGAAAGGTTCTGCCTGGGCTTAATGAACTTCAAACTAAACCAAAGGGCACACTGGTGAGAGGGAATGAATGGCTGTGTGTGTTCATGCTCATGGAGTAAGAATAGTCACTTTTTACTGGAAACCTATATCCCTTAAGGACATGACCATGGAGAGGCAACAAAACCAGGCAATTTGGTGAAAGCTGGAGGAAACAACAACCTGGGTTTGTGAGGAGCTCTCAGGTTTTAAATGTAGGCTTTAGCCAAAACCAGAACCCAAAAAGATGGGGGAAGGGAGTGTCAAGAAAATTCAGTGGACCCTGGTTCCCAGTGTGATCCCAAGCATGGCTTCATGAACACACCCTGACTTTCTGCGGACGCAGAGGGCAGGTCTGGCAGAACCACAGGGCTGTGTGTGCAGCTTGCATTTCCAGCCGATCTCCACCTGCCTGCAAGTCAGTGTGCCTCGGCGTGTCACGTCCAATCCTGTGCACTGTTTTCAAGCTCATAGTTAAGCTTTTAGTTTCAAGCAGATTAAGCTCTAAAATTGTTTATTCATAAAGTAGATTTATTATTGGGGAAACACTGTCCTATGTAACTCAGTGTCCCCCGTGATGACAGAACAGAGTGTAATAATTGATACCCACTTATTCCAGTGAAATCCCAGAAATAGCCCCCCAAAAGTATAAAGTATATGTTTATAGACTGTTTAACAAGGCAAAAAAGTATATATTTTATTGTTCATGAAAGATACCTAAACTAAAAAAGTATCAGCACTCAAAAGGGTGCCATCCGATCCTAGAAGTTTCCTTCTGTGCAGCAGACCCGGATGCACTGACATTGCATTTTGGGGCCTCACCCTGGGTCATGTGCTCTGGAGGCGGCACATCCATTCAATCCACATCCTCAGGGAAGGGAAGCACCTCGGTGGGGCTCACTGCTCATTCTTCCTCATGATCTGTGGGATGACAGACGCTCTGTGGGACTTCTGAAACAGCCCTGTCCCAGTCCTCTGTCCCACACAGCACCCACAAAGGAACAGGTAAAGGGGATCTGACTACAACACAGACAATAAAATTAGGTGTCAGGGTTGAAGGGACAGCAAAGAGAAGTCCTGATACATGTGTCAGGGACTAGAAATGAAAGAATTAGGAGAACTGAGTAACATTTGTTGAGCACTTAATATGCATCAGGCACGAGCCTAAGAACTTGACATCTTTTGTCTTCACAACAGCCCTCCGAGGAAGATTATTATCACAGAGGTATTATTATGGGGCTATAATGGGTCTGTCATTATTTCCATTTCACTGATGAGGAAACTGAGGTTAAAAGGTAAATTAACTTTGCAGAGGCTATTCAGCTGGTAGATAGCAGAGCCAGGATTCAAACCCAGGATTACCTGCCTCCCTTGTCCTTGATCCCTGCCCCTTTAACAGAAAAAGTGCTGGGTCAGTTGAAAGCACACTCTGCTCCTGCCCACTGGGAAGGCATGGCGCAGCAAACAGAAGGGCAGAACATCAACTCCACTGGGAGGCTGCTTCAAAGTCATGCCCGCATAAGGCTGCGCACTTACTCCCCGGATGTGATCTGGGCTCAGACCCCTCTGAAATTCTGTTCCCTGTGCCATTATCACCTGAGGCCCAAAAGGCAGCCTCATAATCTCCCAACACTCAACCCAAAGGCCCCGACAAGTATTCTGCAGCCAATCCACTCTCCTTGTTCCTCAGTCTTGGATCTGAGTCAGACCTACTTGTTTCCAATCACCCCTCTGAAAAGGATGCACATGTCCCATGACCCTGGATACGTAAGGAAATGCATCATGGGCGCTCTGAGGGCAGGTGCTCAGCAGAAAGCCAGCCCCGGCGGTGCCACCATCAAAGAGAGAGTTCGTCCTGGCAAGGGCATGGCTTTAAGGAACCGCAGCACACACTTGGATATGTAAACCTCATACTTCCCATGATTTCTCAGCTCCCTAAAATCCATTGTGCACTCAACTAGTCCCTCAGCTGGCAGTGGCAAGGATGAAATGAGGGCCAGCACCTGTCCAGCTGTACCTTGCCCTCAGGACACCTAGTCTTGGCTGGATTCAGATCTTGAGAAAACCATGAACATACCAAACATTTAGGTAAGTAAATTGGTTAAAACCCAAACATTTGGGCACCACGGGTTATTACTATTTCAGATCCACTTGTAGCCTTTTCTCAAAAATCCCTCCCCACACACACATCCTTTGCTTTGCTCAGGATATTCACCCGCTGGCCCCTTGCACTTCACCTCAGGCTCAAACCAGAAACACAGACCTCCGCAGCTGGGGCAGGGCCGGGCCTGGTTCTCCCACTTGTGGAGTGGGGTAAGTCACATGCACTTCGGACTCCTTAAGTTTCTCACCCAGATTGGGAGGGAATGACCCAGCACGATTTCCCAAAATGTGGGTGCTGAGGGATGTGAGGGCGATGGCAGGCTCCAGGCAGAGGCCCTTCTGTGTAACCCTCAGCTCAGCTACCCCACCGGAGGCTTAGTGTGGGGTCTGCGGGGCACAGAAGAAGCGGGGGAATGATGTCTGGGCTCTGACTGGCTTTGATGACGGCTTACAGTAAGTTAAATTTTCCCAGTGTTTCCCATGGGAAAATGCAAAGTAACTTTGCAACGAAAACATGGCTTCAGAAGTAAGAAGGCAGGGGAAAAAAATAGGTAATGTGGTTTAAAAACACCACTGTTGCTCTATGAAAAGACCACACTGATCAGGACTGCTACTAAAGTTATATAATGGCTCCTGTTTTCTGAGCAGGGCCTTATTGCACTGAAGACTTGATCACCACGTAGTTATTATCAGTCCCCAACCCCGCCCCATATTCACTAAAGATTTGATAAAGACCAAACCTGCCTCGATGACTTACCCAGGGGGGCTTCTGGAACTGGGTCTGAAAACTTAAAACCGGGGAAGAGCAAAGCCAGTTCTCGGCGGGCGTCTTCTCCGTCCCGGCTTCCATGGACCGCGTTGAAGGGCATTTCTGTGCCGTACTGAGCGCGGAGACTGGGAGCATTGGCAAAATGTACAAGACACAATTGTTTCATTTCAAAAGAAATGTTTTGCTCTCCGGCAACATGGTCTCCAGCTACCAATCAGCACCCTGCATTTCTGTGAAATGGCTTTCTCTCCGTTGGAAATGCCAAGAACAACAGCCAGGACGATACTAGCTGACATCTATCCCGTCACGGCAGCATTCTGGGCACATTGCCGGGGGCTTCACATACACGGTCTCATTTCATTTGTGCCCCAGCCCCAGGAGGGAGACTGTCGTGAGTCCCAGTTTAAAAATGGCATGAGTCATGGTGTCAGCCCAGGAGCTACCATGTTACTGATGTTATAACCACAGGCTGGCCGCCTGCCGGGTTTATATAGGTTTGCACAATTAATCCCCCAGTGACCCACCACTAATGCCAACGTGGCTAGGACTTCCGGTGCATCAAGCACTGTCCTACATGCTTCATACATATACATGTGCCCATTTAATCTTCCACTGACGTCTGACATAGGTCCCACGCTAGTACCCATTTTTCAGATGAGGAAATTGAGGCAGAGATCAAAGCATGACCCAAGGCCACACAGTCAGGAAGAAATTTTGAAATCTGTCTCAACCTTAACACTCTAGGGCCTCCCATGATAGATGCTCATATCCCCATTTCACAGATGAGAGAACGGAGGCTCGGAGAAGGGGCTGCCTAAGTCTGTGGTGACCTAGGCTCTGAGCACTGGGTGTCCTTCACTAGCCCAAGCCTACTTATGTATGAATGCTCCTGGCCCCTTCAACTACAAAGTACAGCCTCTGTTACTTAGCCTCTTGCTCATTTCTTTCCTGTTGGCTGGGCCTCTCTTGGCTTTAAGGGAAAGACACAGTGGCTTTGGCATTGGTGGTGTCAGGCTGGAAACGCACAGGGAAGAGGCACAGACCAAGGCAGCCTAGCGCGGTATATGGAACAGTGTGCTTACGCTCAGGACACCCAGGGTGGGGAGTAGGGGTGGAGGGCGTTGAGTCCAATGCATATTCCCAGGCCCCATCCAGAGTCTGACTTGGGGTCCTGGAATCTGTATTTCTGGAGTGTTGCAGGTGGTCCTGAGACCACACTATGGGACCCTCTGGCTGCAGAGCGGACAGTGAGGCCTGGGTCTGGCAGCAGCCTTCAGAAGAGGGCAGAGGGGGCAGCAAGGCGGCAGGCCACAGGAGACACTCAGTGAAGGGCTGGGGAGTGGATCAGAGGTGAGGCTGTCATGGTCTCCCCAAATACATAACAAAGAGGGGGTTCCTGGCCAGCAGAGAGCCCTCTGTGTTACCCACAATTCTAGGCTGAGCATTAAGTAAGGCTCTCAGCTTCCTTGGATGCAGGTGCTGAGATGGGTGAAAGGACCCCAGCTTGTGATATCACCTGTCAGGTTGCTCCCTCCTTGCCACGTCTGGGTCACAGGGTCCCATGAAGTTTCGCCAGGCAGTGATAACATCCTCCGTGCCCTCAGTCCTGGTGAGGATCAGGAGGTGGCTTGGTCCGCTGCACATGTGATGTACCAGCTTTTCAAATGCCTCCTGGAAACAGGGAGGGGAATCAGGGACCTAGGGCAGGGACCCTGGGCCTGCAGAGGGTCAGCAGGGCCCATACCACCTACAGGATGGGTAGGGGATCGTGAGCAGCCCTGCTACCAGCCAGCATGCCCATGGAAGGAGGCTGGGAAGGGTACTGTTGATACCCCACCACACCTGGAGAAACCAAATGTAAGCTGAAAGCAGGAAGATGAGATTTTGAGTTGATTTGTTTGGGGTTGAACATGAGATTATAATTAATTGGGTAGGGGCATTAAAAAAACCATGTATATAAAAATCATGTGGGCACTGGATAACCAAGGGGTGGGATGTAGTTGAGACTTCTTTTATTTTCTTCTTCTTCTTCTTCTTCTTATTCTTATTATTATTATTATTATTACTATTTGCAGTACCTTGCCATCCTTCCCCCTTCTTCAAGGAACAGCACTCTGGTTTTCCTTTAGGGACCAGCCCCTCCCCCATCACTTGGCCCTCGTCTGGCTGACAACTATAATGTCTACCCATACTTCCCACACACCCACGTCACCTGAGAGGGGGGCTGAGGCCCACCAGACCCTCCCTCCCAGGTAGGTGAGTCAAGCAGATGCAAACGGAGAGTGGCTGAACCTAAGTTCTCCGACAGTGGCAGCTAAAGTGACTGTCTGTGAGGTTTTGCTCCTGAGATCCCTGCAGCTGTCCTGGGTTTTCTTCTCCCCAGAACCTCCTTGCTCAACGCCTCCTTCATTTCTGGGAGTCAGGGAGTATCATTTCACTATATTCCTTATTTCATTACTTAAGGTAGAATCAAAATCTCTTTCTGCAGCCAAAGAACGTTTACCTGATACAGCCTATAATATTATTCTGAGAGCCAATTCACAGCTGTTCAAATTCTTGTTCTTCATGATATTCTGTGTCTCCCAAACTAATAGCAACCTCTAAACACACTCAAAAGAGGAAGGAACACGAGTGCATCGGACACGCAGGAGCAGGTGAGCTGACCTTTCCGACTCTGTGTTGGTAGAAGAGTCGCATTTCTGCCTCTGTCATGGTTCTCTCTTCACTTGTTAAAATGTCAAACCCAGCTTCCTGGATCTGCAGGATATATATACACAAATTCTGAAAGGGTAAATCAAGCTCAAATTCACACTGAAATGGGTTGAAAAGGAAAAGAAGATCATGGGAAAAGCAACATTAAAAGCAGTGGCAACCTCATCTTCAGCATATCTTTCCTGATTAGATTTAAAATTTAAATTTGCTCAAGTGAAATTTTGGTTTAAGCTCCTTCACGGCTTTCTTTTCCCACCAGGAAGGACATGGTGCATGATGCCCCACCTGTTTTTCCACCAGAGAAGAGTGAGGACAGACTGCTGGGGAGGTGCTGTCTCCCTTACCTTCATAATAATCTCATCAGTCTTTCCGTGGACCACTGCATCTGGTTTAATGATTGCCAAGGTACAGGCCTTCTCCGATGAAACTGTAACAAGGCAAGGAGGGTGCTTCAGATGCTGCGCTCACAGCACCCATCTTTGAGGCTCTCAGGAGGCCCTCTGCCGGGGCCAAAGAGCCTCTGCACACAGCTCCCAGGGCTCCCTCGCTGGGCCTCCTGGCTGGGCCCCTGCAGACCTGCACCTGAGTGTAAGCACAGGTCTGGCTCCAAACCTCAACCTCAACCTGGCTGCAAGGGACAGAGACATGCAAGGGACCCAAACCTGGGAGGGAGGGAGTGGGGAGGGGGGAGAGAAGGGGTGGCCAGGAGATCAAAGATTCTCCAGGAACCCAGAAACAGCTGAAAGAGTAAGCCTGCGGGGTGGGGAGTGGGGAGCAGGAGCAGAAGCAAGGCAGGCCTGGCTACTGTGTTCCTTCCTATCACCCTCCCATGACTCTTGACCTCTAACTGCTGACTACTGTGTTCTCCTCTCCCGCTACTGGCTCCTTTGCCAAATCTTCTTTTTAACTTTCCTGGCATGTGGCCAGCAATGGCTGCCCGAGGCCTGAGTTGACATGACCTTTCAGTGCCAGCACATTGACCAAGCTGCAGCTCCAGTCTTCCCTGTCTCCGTTCAGATTCCCCTGAGAGAAGACTGTACTGGCCAGCTTGTTGTCTGGAGCCAAGACACCAATCATAGCTCTCTGACCAGTCTCTCCTGACTGGCTGTCGTTTACTTAGGTCCCATCAGCTGTGGCGCTGAGAGAGATGCCACATAATCACAGTCCACTGCTCAGGCCCACACAAGCTGGAGGGAATCCATGTCCAGTCCATGAGTCCATCGCTGTTGTACTCCTATTTGTACGAACTTGTCCTTGGTAAGCAACCTCCACTCTGCACAGACTCTGTACTCTGCTATCTACCTTCTGTTCTCAACTTCTACATCAGTTCTGTTGCAATGAAACTTGACAATATTTGAAAATCTTAAAAACGTGCACTGCAAAGCATTTGAAGCAACGACTTCATTTTTCTGTGAGTACTATCTATAACATCCTATGAGCACTCAGACTTTGAGGGACTCTTACATAAAAGTCCTTCTAAATTGACCAGTGAGGGAGATCAGCTTGGAGGTGTATGGTGAGAAGAGAAAAGAGAATTGGCCGGAGCAGGGGCCCGGAGAACTCCAGCTTGAAAAGGGAGCAAAAGAAAAGAAGCCAGTGTGAAGAGGAGGCTGAGGAGAGGCCAATGATGTAGGAGGAAAACAAGAAAGGTCATGCTGTCTCAGAAACCAAGACGGAAGGGGATTTGGAGAAGGAAGGCATGGTGAACGTCATCCAAGTCTACAGAAAGATGCAGCGGAAGATGACTGGGCCCTGCCTGGCGTGGCTCATGGGGTTGGGCGTCAACATGCAAAGGTTGCCGCTTCTATTCCCAGTCAGGGCACATGCCTGGGTTGCTGGCCGAAGTCCCTGGTTGGGGGCATGTAAGAGGCAACCAATCAATGCTCTCTCATATATCAATGTTTCTAACCCTCTCTCCCTCCCTTCCCCTCTCTCTGAAAATAAATAATAACATCTTTTAAAAAAGAACATGATTGGAAACTGTCCCTTGGATTTGACATAAAGAAGGTCCCTGGTGCCCTGGTGAGGACCAGTTCAAGGAGGAGCAGGCTCAGAGGCTGAATCAGCAGGTCAAGGCAGCAGCAGAAGGTGGGGTGGCCCAAGGAGTGTGGGCAATGTTCAGGAAGCTCAGCATGATGGAGAGGAAGGCCAAGGGCAATGGTAGGGTTTTGTGTTGTTTTCTAGGTGGAGAGACTTGATTTGAGAGGAAATAATGAAGTGTGGGGAGAGGGTGCAGACACAGGAGATGATCTAAAAAAGGACACAACAAGTATTTCCTACAAAAGCCAAATCAATGATCTTTCTTTGCACACTTGACCTTTCTTGCTCTCCTAAACTGGGCCTCTTTCCTTGTTAGAACCCAACTCAAACCGTCCTCATTATCCACACACAAATAAGCAGCCTTTCTACTTCATGAGATAATCAAAATCTCCCTTCTCTTTCCAGATGGGTTCCTGAACTTAGTCCTGGTTTTCTCTGGAGCCTCACTGGCTTTCCCTCTTTGCCTGCCGCAGCCTTGCTAACTTCTGGCTTCTCTTCACACTTTCAGATCAAGTTCTTCTCCTAGTGGAGGTTCAGGAGGAACTGCCATGCCCAGCAGTGTTGAATCGTGAGCTGACACATGGGGAATAAGAAGTAGAGGGTACAAGGTTGGGGGGGGCGGGGGGGGAGGTGTTCAGTACAGCTGACTTTCTGATACTTCAGGAAAAAAGGTAAAAAAAAGAAACTTGAGTTTTTCAGCTCAAATAAGGACTAAGGAGACACTAGCATCATTAATTTACAATATTTATGTCGTTGTCCTCCATTTTATTAAATGGCGCTTTTCCTGATGCCCAGCAATTGCTGTGAAAGTCACACTGGTTATATTTAAACCTGATCAGAAAGCTGTGAAAAGTGCCCAATATGCCATTGAAGGACAGAAGGGAGGTGACTGGAGACAAAATGTTTTACGGTTAACCTTCCCAGAGTTCAGGTTGACTGATAAACTGACTACTCACATTTTTTAAAAAAACATCAAATCTGAGTTTGCTTTGCCTTTTTGCCTTGCTTGTTGGTTCTGCACTCACCCACGTCCTCATCTTCACCATCGTCCTTTTCACGGGAAAAACATTCATCCTCTTCAGAAAGCACCTCATCTTTAATCTAATACAAATTGGTCATCAACAGAAGGTGGTTAGCACTAATTAAAATGACCACAAAGCCTTCCTGCAGAAACCAACAAAATAAAGGCTCAAAATACAGAGCAAAAAAGGGGGGTCAAGGTTTTCAGTAGATCCACGAGATCCTTTTTTAGTAGTTGTATTTTGGGGGCAGGGTGGCGAGTGTGTTTGAAGACAAGGAAATCCGTGCTGATCTTAAGGTTTAGATTCTGCCTGTTTTCACAGGCACAGATACAAACACAGCTTTGGCAAGAAGACAAAGGAAGAATTGAAATGTGAGTAAATATTAAGTGACTGGCTACACAGTGCAGGGCAGTAGTACAGAGGGAGCTCATTTTCCCCGGAGGAGGCACCAGCATTTGTGGTAGACTTTCTTGGGGGAAAATTGCCAGTTCTCTTGGGGTGGGGGTATGATTTGATTCTAATCCATTCTATGAAAACAAGGCTTTGCTCTTTGGAATAGTATATGAGACCTTGACAATGAGCACTGAACATGAAAGCTCCTTTGGCAGATGCTCAAAGTACCAGGAAATACCTCCCTCTACCTAAGGTGTGTTGTTTTTCAAAGCCAATTATTTATGAAAAACTCAGTCTGTGTTATCATGGCAATAATATATCAAAACCACAAGTTAAGACCCACCCCGTTTCTCGTGGCCCGGACAGAGTTAATGCCTAATTTGAAGACACGAGCCCTCAGGGATCACAAGTAAAACTTTCAGGAATGTGAGGTGATGGGAGCAGGTCACCAGGATAGATTTCACCCTGAGGCTGGACTCCTCTAACCACTTCTTGATTTCATAACTTTATTTTCACTTCTGAATTCACTGTCAGTGACCCAGAAAGCCCTGTGACAAGTTGAAGTGGGGGAGGAAAGGGACATGGATAAAAGAAGCTAAAGCATTCCGGATGACGGGGACAGCTTTTTAAATACTTCAAAATGCACACGTCATAGTCAGCATAGCACTGTCCCCTGAGCTCTCAGCAAGGACCCAGGTAGGCATTTAATGAAGCTTCCAGCTGACAGCTCCAGGAAAATTAATGGGGAAGGGGAGGGAATGGCTGGCGTCGAGCACACCCGTGAATTTGCTGTTTGCACGAGTGACCTCCTTACCACTTTCCGTTCTCCGCCTTCAGCCAACACCTTCCTTTCGGCCTCTAGCTGGTCTAGGATGGTTTTCTGCAGCAGTGGGGCGTTTGCTCCTCTAACCACAGCCACCAGTTTTCCTCCCTGGGAAGGACAAATGTGCTACTCAAACCACACAAAACCCTCTTCCCAGGTACTAATCTCTTTCAAGAGCCAGCAAGAGTGTCTGAGCACTTTGTTTAGGAGTGTGCCCAAGGCCAAGGGCCATCAACCCCAGGCCCACAGCCTCCATCCATCTCTCTGCCTTTTACCCCACACTCCTCCTTTCAAAGTTTCCTTCGGAGCAATGGGGAGTTAGCTCAGGAAGGGACAGGGCCACAAAGAATGTAAGTTGCTTATACATGGCCCATTCACTCAACAAGTACCTATTAAGCACTTACTCTGCCAAGAATATGAACCCTGAACATCAAAATATACAGTCGTGCCCTCAGTGAATGCGGAGCCAAGTGGAGGCAGAAAGGTGATCATGCCTCACAAACAATTACAATAAAATAAGAGCATTGCTTTAATAGGGGATGTGCAGGATGCTTGGAATCTGGGGGAGACGTGATCCCTAACTCCATCTGGGTGGTCAGGGACACTTCACAGTGGAGGTGGCATTTGGGGTGAACCTGAGTTTCCTGTTTTCTGTTGTGCAGCAGTCTCTGTGCATATTGGTCACAAAGGAGTGATCTAGGGAGGGAGAAGTTCACGCAGAGTGGGTCCTCCTCCATTCCCATCCGCCCCTCAGGGGACCACCGCAGGGCAAGAGCCTGTGAAGTTGCCCGTTGGCTGGGCACAGGCTCCAGCACTGCTGATTGTGATGGTGCTTCCATCACTAGGGGCTCAAGCAAGAAGACCACTGTGGTGATGCCCCCTTTTCCGTGAATCACCCCGATGTCCATTTGGCTGGGGGCATGTTCACTTCAGCTGCTTCCCACTTCTCCTTCCCACCCCACCCATGTTTCATCACATACCTTCAGTCTCTTTATTAAAACTCAAGGCTCAAATAATGTTTTATCATAAGCTCCCAATCTGCAATTCTTGTGGTGTCGAGGGCAGGGGCCCAAAGGTTTCCAAACTAAATAACTCTGGCCTGGCTGTCAGGAGGCCTGGGGAGATGGGCTCAGTTTCCCTGATGTATGATGAGGGGGCTGGCCTGGGTCAGGAGGAAGGTCAATCAGTTGCCTTCAGAAAGCCAGGCGTGACAGGGGGCCCTAAGGCTGTGGAACGGGGATGTCACACCTGAAGACATCCAAATTATCTTCAGTCGGAATAGTTTTTCTCATTCCTGACTTTCTATAAATGACCTTCACATTTTATGATTAAATAACAGCGAGTGCAGAGCTCATCCACCCCATAAAGGAGTATTCGTGTTTGCTGTAAGATCCCCTCTACGGAGCAGAGGACAGAACGCTTCTGTGCTCTGAGAGTGAAACCTCAGATGAGGGTGTTCACGAGCCAGGAGCATTTCAGTGACTCCTATCCTCTCCCCTGTACTGCCAGGTCAGGAAGCTCCCCCACTCAGAGGGGCCTCTCCCTGCTGGGCCAGTGGGCAATGCCCTGAGGCTACCATGCCATGACTTAAGGACATTGTCCTCAGTCAAAATAATAAAGACAGTCAGGGAGAACACTTGTCTGCATCAGTGTAGCCCCTTGGTGGCTCCCAGCAAGAATGAAGGCCAGTAATACTCATCTATCTGAACTCTAATGATATGCAACCATCAAATAGTCCTGGTTCTGAAAATGTACTTACTGCATAAAAGAGAAAGGTTGGCTCACACCTCCCGCGGTACTTTTCCAGGACATCAAGACAGTCTGCCTCTGCCTAATGAAAACCAGCTGTCAGCAGGACCCTGGGCACAGCAGGGACAGGGGCACGATGGCAGGAAACCACACAGGACAATCCACACACACCACACACACGGTGTATCACACACACACACATCACTCACACACACATGCCATACCACATGTTACATACTCACATGTTCACACCACACACACCAGGCATCACATACAAATACCACACATCACACCACATATACACACCATATATCACATATATCACATACCACATACACATATGCACAGCACACACATCACATATCACACACTGACACATCACACACACCATACCACATATCACAACCATACATCATACATACCTATACAACTACATGCAGCCCACAGCACACACACTGCCATGCCACACACCACACACACACACACACACACACCACACGCCCTGTAAGTGCCTCTCCCCAGATGAAGCCCTGATGTGCTTTCATGCTTCTCCAATTGTTTTTTCATCAGAATCGTAACAACAGTCCTGTCAACATATTGGTAAAAATTGTTGGCAATATACTTTTTTGAGGAACAAAGGAGGGGGAAACAAGGGCTTCTCCTGCTCTCCACCCAGCCTCTCCTCTAGCACAAGGAAGCTCACTGTCTAAACCCCGCTGCTGCCGCCACGGGCAAGCTCAGAGGCGGAAGGTGCTCCGACCGCGTGCAGCGCCTGACGGTTCAGTCCAGGCATTTCCTCCACACACCCTGCGGAAGCGTCCGGACGGACTCCCGGGGGAGGCAGGAAGGGCAAGGTCCTTGAAGTCAAACTTGTTGGGAAATTAGCACGAGGTGTATTTTCTCCTGTGTTCCGTCTATAAACCTCAAACCCCTGGAGTGTCTCTTGCACACTTCTTTGGAATTTGTTCCATTTCGTACACGAATCCAAGTAAATGTTTACTAACAGTTCCCCTTTATGGAGCAAAGGATAGAAATCTTGAAAGCCTGCGCTCTGAAAGTGAAACTTCAGAGTTCACGGTGTCCGTGAGCCAGGAAGGAGCACGCATGTTGGAACAGCACGTCTTCTTCCCTGCGCACAGCACCCAGACAGGCCGGGCCCAGGCTGGCTGTCCCTGAGGTGGGGGGCGGGGGAGCAATCTTCATCCCCCAACAAACTGGGAAGCATCCTGACGGATATAAAATCCACAGCTGATGCCTTTTTAATGATCTGAAAAAGGAAGCTTACCCTTCCTGTTCCTGTTTTTAAATTGTTAATTCTTTTCTTAAAAGGTTTTATTTATTTATGTTTAGAGAGAGGGAAAGGGAGGAAGAAAGAGAGGGAGAGAAAGAAACATGGATGTGCGAGAGAAACATTGGTTGCCTCTCACAGATTGGTTGCCCCTTCCACACCCCCAATGGGGGACCTGGCCCACAACCCAGGCATGTGCCCTGATCAGGAATGGAACAGGCAACCCTTGGTTTGCAGGCCAATGCTCAATCCACTGGCCATACCCACCAGGGCTAAATGTTTAATTCTTATCACAATGTTGTCTGACATTCTGCTAAGAGAGGGTCTTACCAATGCAAAGTGCAGAAGGTCCAAGCCAACTTCCATCCTCATCTTCTGGAAGAGGCTCACCACCGGTTTGCAGGGGCCACACCAGCCTTGATAGACGTCGACAACTGCACAGAACCAGGGAGCAGGAAGGTTCAGTGAGTGCCAGCGTCTGCCATGTTAGGCAAAACTTATACCTGCACATTCTACCTCCCTCAGATGGATGTCTGCAGGGATATTAATGGTTATAGGGATTTATTATCCCACCAGAGTGGGCAAGCATGGAAACACAGCTATCCCTCCTTCTTAGCAGTTCAGTGGTCTGAGTTCTAAACAACAAAGTAAGTAGGGTAGGAAATCATTTACATAACATGGACCCTTTACCATAATGAGTAGCCCTCAATAAATATTTGAATTGTACTGAAAGGAAGAAGTCACTGCAGGTGACCTGTCAGTAAACAATCAATTCTTGGCTACCTTGATAATAAACACAGCTTTGACCTTTTTCCCCTGTGAATTAAAAGTGACTTGCTCTGGGTAAAGGAGAGTTTTATTTACTTCATAAAATCAACATCATTACCCTGGAAAGTGAATCTGATAGAGACCTAGGTGGAACTCGGATGCCCTTGTCTTCTTCGGTCCAGTCGGTGGCATGAGCCAGGGTGGAGTGTGAGGTGCTTGTCTTCTACTGCACATGACCACACGGCCCAGCCTGTCGTCCGACGGTACCGACTAGTGTCCTGGCCTGAACTTACCAGCAGATGTTCAGGCCAGATCTATATATACAAAGAAATCACCTAGCTCTTTATTCATGAAACTCAAGGTTGGAGGAAAATGGTGGTCATTATAGGTTTTCTCTTCATAGTAAATCTGTCATTTAGCAATTCTGAAGTGGATGGATCTCAACAATTATCTTAAATTACCAGTTAGTCCTTTGGAACTGAGCATTTCCTCCCAAAGCTCCTGGGTGCTGATGTTGACCTAACATCAAAGAGGAACAAATGCTGTATTACTGAGGGCGCCGATGGAGAGATACTTTGGTATATTTGCTCCAGATTCATCTTCATATTCACTCACATTCATTCTCTCTGTGTCAATGAAATAGTTACAAACACAACTCAAGCTGTCCTCTATTTCCAATCTCCTTTTCTCCTTCCCTCTCTTCCTACCTCCTCCTCTAGGAATAACCCCTATACTGAGAAAATCTCAGGTATTTTTAAGAAAATAATTTTTACTTGTTACTCGTTCAAAAGCAATATTTAAAATAGTTTTGTGCCTGTAAGTGTAAATAAATAGTAACATACTGTGGATATTTTTTACAACTTATGTTTTCACTCAACATTAAGTTTTGACATTTATCTATATTTGTGCACAGAGTGGCACTCGTTTGTTGTCTTCTTATACATTTTATTGAGATATAAGCTATGTGTAGTGAAGTGCACAGAACTGAAGAGTTATAGTTCAATGACCTTGGGTGAATGCGTACACCCGTGTGACCATGCCCCCGTCACAATACGGAGCACGTCCATCACCCCAGAGCGTTTCCTCGGGTCTCCTCCTCGTCACTCCCCACTCCAGGTAAACCCTGATCTGCTTCCTGTCACAACAGGCTCATCCTGCCTATTCTAAAACTTCACATAAATGAAATAATACACACATATCATTTTGTGCTGGCTACTTTCATCAGCATATTTTTGGGATTCATTGGTGTAGCTGTGTATAAGTAGTCTGTTCATTTTTATTCCTGAGCATATTCCATCGTATGACTATATCATAATTTGCTTGATAGATATTTAGGTTACTTCCAGTTTGGACTATTATGCATAAAGTTTTACTGTGTTCACATTTTCCTTTCTCTTTGATAAGTAAGTACCTAGGAATGGAATTGCTGGAACATAGGGTAAATGTATGTTCAGTTTAATAAGATACTTCTGGCGCTTTTCCTACAGTGGTTGTACCATTGTAAAGCAAAGGATAAGAGTTCCAGTTGCTGCACATTCACACAAAAATTTGGTGATGTAAGTCTTTCTCGTTTCAGCCACAATAACAGTAATATAGTGGTATCATATTGTGGCTTTAATTGCATTTCCATGGTGACTAATAGTGTTCAACGTATTTAATGTACTAATCAGCCATTCGTACATCTTCTTTGAGAAGTACCCATTGGTCTGTCCATTTTCTTTACTGAATTGTTGGCCTTTTTATTAGATTATAAAGGGTTTCTTAATTTATTCTAGGTAAAAATTCTCTGTCAGATATAAGTATTATGAATATTTTCTCTAAGTCTGTGGTTTGCCTATTCATTTCCTTAATAGTGTCTTTTGTTGAACAGAAGTTTTTAATATTGATGAAGTCTAATTTATGAAATTTTAGTGTTATGGTTAGCACTTTCTATTGCCTCTAAAAAAAATCCTCAAAGTCACAAAGATGCTCTCCTATTTTCTTTTAAAAGCTTTATAATTTAAATTTTTACATTTAAGTCTGTGATCCATCTGAAATTAATTTCTATGTATGTTGCAAGGGAAGGATTGTGGTTAATTTTTTTCCCATGTAGACATACAGTTGTTTCTGCAAAATTTGTTGAGAAGATTTATTTCCTAACTATATTGCTTTGGCACCTTTGTTGAAAAGCAATTAGCAGTATAAGTATGGCTCTACTTTGGAGTCAATTCTGTTTCATTGACCTATTTGTCTATTTTTATGCCAGTACCACACTATTCTGATCACTATAGCTTTACAATAAGTCTGGGAATCAGGCAGTGTGAGGCCTCCATATTTTTTCTTTTTCAAGATTGTATTGGCTATTCTAGGTCCTTTGCATTTCTGTAAACATTTTAGCACCAGCTCAGCCATTTCTGCACAAACTCCTGCAGAGATTTTAGTTGAGATTGCATTGAGTCTATGGATCAATTTAGGAAACAAGTGAAACATTAACTCAAGTCTTCCATTCCCTGAACATGATGTTTCTTATCAGCTATTAAATCTTCCTTAATTTTCTCAGCAATTGATTGGAATTACTTGGAGCTGGTTGGATTGTTTCAAATTGGTTGGATTGGTTGGAGCTGATGTATACATTTTGCACATCTTTTAAAAACTATGTCCAAGCATCCACATCAGAAATAATCAACAGTTGAATTTATTGCCATCTCTTCACATTTTTCTCTAATCTACAAAGTATTCTGGTTTACATCAAAAATTAAATGCAAGGAGAAATACATATTATCCTTTTTCATAAATAGTATATATTTTGTATAGTGTTTTGATTTTGAAAAAATTTCAAACTTACAGAAAATTTGCAAGTACAATATAAAGAACTTTTTCTCTTAAATCATTTGAAAGTAAACTACCAATATAATATTCCATTATTCCTGAATACATTATCCTACATAACTACAATATAACCATCAAAATCAGAATATAAATACATATATTATTACTATCTAATCCTTAGACTCCATTCAAGTCCTACTGATCCTCCCAATAAAGTCCTGGTAGCAAAAGCCCTAACCAGAATCATGTGCCAGATTTGTCGGGTCTCTTTAGTCTCCTTCAGTCTGGAATAAATAGTCCTTCAGTCTTTCTTTGATTTTTCATGACCTTGACACTTTTGAAGAGTGCATACTGGTTATTTTGTTGAATGTTCCTGTTCCTCAGTTTGGGTGTGTCTGGTGTTTCCTCCTGATTACAGTCAGGCTGTGCATCTTTTTTTTTCTCCTTTATTTATTTATTTATTTTTTTAATGTATGTTATTGATTATGCTATTACAGTTGTCCCATTTCCTCCCCCTTCACTCCCCTCCACCCTGTACACTCTCTCCCACCCACATTCCCCCCCTTTAGTTCATGTCCATGTGTCATAAGTTCTTTGGCTTCTACATTTCCCATACTATTCTTACTCTCCCCCTGTCTATTTCCTACCTACAATCTATGCTACTTATTCTTTGCACCTTTTCCCCCTCTCTCCCTCCTACTCCCCTGTTGCTAACCCTCCATGTGATCTCCATTTCTGTGGTTCTGTTCCTGTTCTAGTTGTTTGCTTAGTTTGTTTTTGTTTTAGGTGTGGTTGTTAATAATTGTGAGTTTGCTGTCATTTTACTATACATGTTTTTTTCCCTCCTTTTTCTTAGATATGTCCCTTTAATATTTTATATAATGAGGACTTGGTGATGATGAACTCCTTTAACTTGACTTTATCTGACAAGCACTTCATCTGCCCTTCCATACTAAATGATAGCTTTGCTGGATGGAGCAATCTTGGATGTAGGTCCTTGCCTTTCATGACTTGGAATACTTCTTTCCAGCCCCTTCTTGCCTGCAAGGTCTCTTTTGAGAAATCAGCTGACAGTCTGATAGGAACTCCTTTGTAGTTAACTGTCTCCTTATCTCTTGCTGCTTCTAGGATTCTCTCCTTCATTTTAATCTTGAGTAATGTAATTATGGTGTGCCCTGGTGTGTGCTTCCTTGGGTCCAACTTCTTTGGGACTCTCTGAGCTTTCTGGACTTCCTGGAAGTCTATTTCCTTTGCCAAAATGGGGAAGTTCTCCCTTATTATTTGTTCAAATAACTTTTCCACTTGTTGCTCTTCCTCTCCCCCTTCTGGTACCCCTATAATTCGGATGTTGGAACATTTAAAGATGTCCTGGAGGTTCCTAAGCCTCTCCTCATTTTTCTGAATTCTTGTTTTTTCATTCTTTTCTGTTTGGTTGTTTCTTTCTTCCTTCTGGTCCACTCCCTTGATTTGAGTCCCAGTTTCCTTCCCATCACTATTGGTTCCCTATGCATTTTCCTTTATTTCACTTTTCATAGCCTTCATTTTTTCAGCTAATTTGTGACCAAATTCAGCCAGTTCTGTGAACATCTTGATCACCAGTGCTTTGAATGTGCATCTGATAGGTTGGCTATCTCTTCGTTGCTCAGTTATATTTTTTCTGGAGCTTTGATCTGTTCTTTTGTTTGGGCCTTTTTTGTCTTAGAGCACCTGTTACATAGTGAGGGGTGGAATCTTAGGTATTCACCAGAGCGGGGCAATGCAGGTCACTGCGTTCTGATGCTGTTTGTGAGGGAGGTGTCTGAGAGGGAACAATGGTGCTTGCTCTGCTCTCTGTTAGATTTCAGTCACTTAACACTGTTTCCCCCAAGCAAACTGGGCTCTTCTTGTGCTGATTCCCCGGTGGATGGGTTCATGTACATTCTAGGATCCTGTGGGTCTCTCCAATGAACTCACCTGTGAGGCTGGAAGTCTCTTCTAGCAACTCAAGCCCCACAGGTGTTTTCAATCAGTGTTTTGAGGCTTTATTTCCTGCACCGGAACCCTGGGTTGTACAGTCTGTCTCGCTCTCCAGTTTCACCTAGTTTATCTGTGCACAAATGTGGGACTGCCTGGTGTGCCAGCCGCCTTGTGTACCATGCCCCTCTACAATCTGACGCCTCACTGGGTTCAGCCATTGCCACCCCATGCCTGGAGCCCACCAGCCACCACTTTTCTTTGCCACGACCCCTCTCCCGGCACCCAACTCCACCCCTCCTACCGGTCTGGATGAATGTGTCTATTTTAACTCCTTGGTTGTCGGACTTCCATACAGTTCAATTTTCTGTCAGTGCTGGTTGTTCTTTTGTTTCTAAATTTTTGTTGTCCTTATTTTGGTTGTGCGAGGAGGCACAGTGTGTCTACCTATACCTCCGTCTTGGCCAGAAGACCCAGGCTGTGCATCTTTAGATTGGTTGGAGCTGGTTGGATTAATTGGATTGGTTGGAATTGATTGGAGCTGACAGGATTGCCTGGAATTAGTTGGAGCTAGTTGGATTGGTTGGAGCTGGTTAGAACTGGTTGAAATTGGTTGGAACTGGGTGGAGTATCAGAGAAGCAGAAGCGTGTTCATCCTATCAGGTGACACACAATTTCCATCTGCCTCATTACTGCCGATGTTCACTTTGACCACTTGATTAAGGTGGCCTGTCAAGCTCCTCCACTGTGAAATTATTCTCTTTCCCTTTGTAATTAGTAGATTGTATGCTGGGTCCACAACTACAGTCCTGACAAAAGTGATAGAAGGGTATCAAAGAGCCACCCCCACCCCCAACCCCACCCTGTCTCTCATCACAGTCACTTTCAGAGGCTCAGCTGTCCTCAGGAGCAGCTCTCTGTGGAGCACCCCTGTGAGGGAGTGAGCCGCACCAGCAGTGGGGCCAGGACTCTGGACAGTTGAAGAATCTCCCTCCTAGGAGCAGGGCAGGAGTAGAACAGTATGAGGAACACCCAGACTCCATTAAGCCCTCCCTACATTTGGTAGGAAATGAATGGGGAATGTGTGGCACCTTTCAACTACACTGTCCCTGGGTGTCCTGTCATTTTCTGTCTCAGCCACAGAAGGAACCCTAAATAGTCTTACTCAGAGAGAGAACAGGGTTCCTGGGTTGGCAGACCTGAGAGCATTGCTTTCAAGGTGTTGACCAAGTGGAGAGTCAGCACAGATGCCTCCGGGCACACCCCCTGCCCCCCTTACTCAGAAGATGGAACACTTAACTCTGAGTACTGCATTCAACTCAAGAGGTCTGGGGAAACACATGAAAAAAAATACTAAAAAATGTTATCAGGCCTTGGCTAGTGTGGCTCAGTGGATTGAGCACCAGCCTGCAAACCAAAGGGTCACTGGTTCGATTCCCAGTCAGAGCACATGCCTTGGTTGTGGGCCAGATCCCCAATAGGAGGTGCACAAGAGGCAACCATACATTGATGGTTCTCTCCCTCTCTTCCTCCCTTCCACTCTGTCTAAAAATAAATAAATAAAATATTTAAAAATGAATGAATGGATGAATGAATGAATGAGTCTTTTAAATTACAAATAAATAAAAATAAAATTTACAATTAAAAAATGTTATTAGCCCCAAAGGGGATATAGGGACATATTCCTATAGATAGAGACCCATGAAAAGGATCATATGAGGCAAAAATCTTACAGCTACCACAGACAGTATTCAAACCAGCTTGGAATTGTCCAAAGAAGTTTTGTCACAACAGCTCCCCCTGCAGGTTATGGATTATTCCCCCCTTTTCATTTACATAAAGGATATAGAGGCACAGAGAGGCTGAGGACATTATATGTGCTGCAGTAATTGCTAGGAACAGGTACTTAGTATTTGTTTACAGGTAGAATACACACAGATGGAGAGTTTCCTAACTCTATAGACTATTAGAACCTTAAGGATGGAAGTCCCTGAAGTATAATTCCCCCAACATCCTCATTCTACAGATAGGCAGTTATGTGGTTCATCCAAAGTCCCAGAGTTGGCTGAGAGTCAAGAAATACATCAAGTCTTTAGGCTTCCAGTCTGAAGCTCTTCCCTCCCCTACCCCCACCCCATGTACTACCCTTAGATGGCACTGCTTTTTCCTTTTTTTCAAATCACTAGGCTTTTGAAATTCACATGCAAAATGCTGGTGCCACTGAGAACAATGGAAGTGAAGTTATGTGTCTCAATACCCTGCCTCTCCAGGGGGTGCCTATAGCCTGAGCATGTATCCTGATGGGCAGAGCTGACTATGAGACATTTTAAAATTTGCTTTAAAATGCACCCATATTGCAGATCATCCAAATGATCCCTTATGACAAAGCACTCCCTCCCAATTCCACAGCCCATGCCTGTATGTTTTTACCATCATCTTAGAATCACCCACAACTTACTGTCCAAGACCAGGAAGAAAGAGCAGATGCTGGCTATGGATTCACTTGTCCTGGGGGCAAGTGAAGTGAAGCACTCTATGTGACAAATGCATAGCACATAAAATATCAAACATACTGTTGAATAAGCAAATGATTGACTAGATCAGTCATGGGAGAACTGGGTCTCTGGAGCACACATTTACAGAGGCATGCTCAAATTCAGAAGAATCTATATCATATTCTTGCAGCAAGTTGCAATTATATTTCAATAAAAAATACTTCACCTTGCATTGTATTGATCAACATTTTCTTGGTTTTGTACTTTTATTTTAATTCATGTTAGAGTTTCAAGGCTGCATAAGCACTATAAACATAAAGAGCTTAAACTGAGTGTTACGTTTGTTTATATTTAAGTGCACAAAAACATTGTCATCACTCGGAATCTGAGATCTATATTCATGTTTGAGAACACGTCTGTCATACACTGCTGGCAAACAGAATATCACTTCTATACTGCACTTCCTGCTCCACACCATCCTCCTCATCCTCCAACCCCAACCAAGTGCTGGAAGCATGTGCCCCTTGAGGGCTTACCTGCAGGGCAATTTCCTTCTTCTTGCTGCCCATGGCTCTGCAAAGACAGAAGCCCTGTTACTGCTGGCTCAGGCCTGCCCACTACACAGATTCATGACAAACTGCTGTCAGGATCAGCAAGCCTGCTTTAGACAAAGACCCCCGTCCCGATACCCCCACCGCCCCAGCGCCCTTTAAGGTAAATATAAGTGGCAGCAAATAAATGCACCGATGCAAAATGAACACCCCACAGTGGAAGCGGAGCCTGAAGCCCACGGGGCTCTCGTGGCTGGAGGGGGTCGGGGTGCATTTACTGTGGATTCATGAAATCCTTCCTAGCCGCGGAGCCCACTGAGGGGCACTCGCAGAGGCCTGAGTTGGGGCGCCAGACAAAGAATTTGGGCGGAAAAAAAGGCCACAGAACACTGTTATTCCTACTGTTAAATGTATTCCTGGGAAACTGAACCACCGCGAACGATCTCTCGACAGGTACGAAGTCTCCAACGTGCAGCGAGAGTTTCCAACCTAGTCTTCAGCGACCCAGCCACGGTAGCATGGCAACACAGACCAAAGTGAAGTGAGTCAGGTAACAAACATTCGCACATGTAAGCCACGCCCACTCTGGGCCCAGCGAAATGGCAGGTGGGAGTCCCACCCCCTGCCCTCAGAATTGGACTAAAGAAACATTCTCATTGGCTGAAGTGTTTGTCAGTAACTGGGATTTGGACCCACCAAGCCTAGACCCGGTTCACGGAGGTATAATACAGTTGCTTCCCTGAATCCCTGCATCCCTTCTTTCCCAGCAGGGCTGGTGTGCACATTTTTTTCACAGGTATTTAATGCATACCAGACAGGATGGCTTCAGTTTTTAAGGGACTGCCTTTAAGACAGAGAATACAAAATTACAAATTCAAAATTAAGTATGAAAGTCAAGTGAAACAAATAGAAAACAGTTACAAACATGATGTAAATGGTTTACACAAATTGAAAGATAGAGATTGTCAGTGGATAAAAACTAGTCCCAACTGTGTGTTGTCTGTAAGAAATCAACTTTAAATAGAGAGACACAGATAAGTTCAAAGTAAAGGGGAAGGGAAAGCTATGCCATACTAACACTGGTCAAAAAAAAAAAAAGGCTGGAATAGCTACATTAATTCAGGCAAAGCAGGAAATGTATCAGGGATGAAGAGAATGCATTACATAATATTGAAGGGGTCAGTTCTCTAGGAAGACACAACAATACTTAATGTGTATGCACTTAAGAAAGCATCAAAATACATGAGGCAAAACCTGATAGAACTGCAAGGAAAAGCAGACACACCAACTATTAAAATCGAAGACTTTGTACCACTTTTTTGGTCATGAACGGTTCCCACAGGCAGACGACGAGCAAGGATATAGTCGAACAGAGCAACAACATTAGTAAACTTGATCTAATTCATATTTAAGAAATATTTCATCCAACAACAGCAGAAGACAGATTCTTCTCAGGTCACATGGAGCATTCATCAAGTCAGACCACATTCTAGATCATAAAACATATCTTAACAAATTTAAAAGAATAAAAGTAATACAGAGTATGTTCTCAGATCACAGTACAATTAAACTAGAAATCAACAACAGCTGATAAAAGAAATGGAAAAGATTAAATAAATGCAGAGGGATTCCATGTTTGTGGATAAGAAGAATCAATAGTGTTAAGATATTAATTCTTTTCACTATGATTATAGATTAAACACAATTTCAGTCAAAATGTCAACAAGCTATTTTGTGGAAACCAACAAACTGAATCTAGAGTTTATATGAAACAGTAAGAGATACAGTACAGCCAACATGAGGCTGAAGTTGGAAAACTCACACTAGTGGACTTCAAGACTTCCTCTAAAGAAAAACTGTCTAGTAGAGTCTACTAAAGCTAAATATATACCTATCTTCTTACTTAACATTTCTACTTCTAGGTATACACCTAAGAGAAATTAGTACATATATTCACCAAAAACATTTACAAGAATATTTATAGGAGCTTTATTCATAATAGCTAAAAACTGGGGACAACTCAAATGTTTATTAGCTGAAGGATGAATACATTCTGGTTTATCTGTACAATGAAATACTACACCTCAGTAAATAACAAGGAAGTAGTGATATGTAAACAACACACATGAATCTCACAAACATCATATTAAGTCAAAGGAGACAGATCGACAATAAGCAAGACCGCATGATATTAGTGGAAGAATAGATACATAGATCAATGGAACAGAATACAGAGTCCAGAAATGGACCCACACAAATGTAGTTAGCTCAGTTTTGACAAAGAGACAGAGAAAAGCCAGTGGAGAAAGGAAAGTCTTTAAAAAAATAGTGCTGGAATAATTGAACATTGATTTGCTATAAATAAATAAGTAAATCTGGACATAGACCTTACACCTTTCACAGAAATTAACTCAAAGTGGATCATAGACATAAACATAAAGTGCGAAAGTACAAAAGTTCCAGGAAAGAAACATAGGAGAAAATCTAGGCAATCCTTGGGTTTGGCAATGACTTTTTAAACACAAGACCAAAAGCATGATCCATGAAAGAAAAAAATATGTTAGACTTTATTAAAATTAAAAATGTGTGCCTTGCAAAAGGTGTAAGAGAATAGCAGGACAAGCCATAAACTGGGAGCAATATTTGCAAAACACATATCTGATAAGGGACTTCTATCCAAAATATACAGAACTCAACAAAAGGAAAACAAACAAGCCAACTTAAAAATGGTTCAAAGATCTGAACAGATATTTACCAAAGAAGATATACAGGTGAGAAGTAAGCAAATGAAAAAGGTGCTCAACCTCATTTGTCATTAGAGAATTAGAAATCAAAACAATAATGAGATATTTCTACACACTTATAAGAATGTCAAATATCCCCCAAACTGACGCTGTTAAATGCTGGTACAGACACGGAGCAGCAGGCACTGTCGTTGATTGTTGGTGGGAATGCAAAATGGTGCAGCCTCTGCGGAAGACGGTTTGGCAGTTTCTCACAAAGCTAAACATAGTCTTACCATCTGATCTGTGGTCATGCTCCTACATCTTTACCCAGTTGATCTGAAAACTTATGTGTACACAAAAACCTGCATGTAAATATTTATAGAAGCTTTATCCATAATCACCAAAAATTGGAAGTAATCAAAATGCCCTTCAATGGTCAATGTATAATCAAACTGTGGCACATCCATGTAATAATGTCTGTAAGACACAGCACCGCAAAGTGGGTCTCCTAGATGCAAGTGGTGTTCATTGACACAAGGTGGTGGTTATGTGGTGGTTACTCAAGCTCTTGAATGGTTTGAAATCTCTCTTTGAACTTAGCTCCCCAAATAAAATTTAAACCAGGCACTAAACTCTTCCTGTCAGCACACTAAAAGATAGACACTTTTTTTCTTTTTGAAAAGGGTTAGATGTCAGATGTCTTTCTTAAAGACAACTGCTTTAATTAGACATACCCTAAGGGAGGTCCTTTTCATTGTTAATTTTGCTTTTGGAATCCAAAGATTGAAAAAACAAAACCTTATTCTTTATCCTGAAAGTTACATTCATTGCCACAAGGTGGCGATTTACTCAAGGGAAACCTTTCTGTGATCCAAATTTGACACCAGGAACATTTTCTTTTCTTTTTTTGCTCTCAGCAGTTTTTATTTTACTGTTGTACTTTGGTTTTTAGGAAGAATGTACGAAGACTGCTTTTCTCTCCCCTTCTAATGTGTTTTTGTTATTGTCTCTTACATATACTCACTCCCTCTCCTCATGGTGCCTGCAGGAGCCCCTTGTGTGGGGGCCCTCCCTCCTGTCTCCCTTGCTTCCCCAGCTGTCTCTCCATGCTCCACCCAGAGCCCCTGCAGGGTGGGCTCCCACTCTAGACACCCGAGCCTGTGCTCTGGGGGAGGGGCACAGCTTCCTGAGCAGCCATGGTTTCTTGAAAGAAACTGGATGTCTTGGAGTCTGGAGAACACCCCTCGAGTTCATGTGCCAGGCATTATCCAGGCAGGGGATGTGCCGAGTGTCCCTCACACAGTTGTGCTCTGGTTTCCTCAGCAGTTGGAACCCCAGGATCTTAGCCTGGTTTTGCAAATCATTTAACCCTTTCATCTATTCTATCTATATTTTCCTTTATTTTCTTCAACATATTAATGTAGGTGGGGACAATTTGAATTTTTAAGTATAACACATACAGTGAAATATATAAAGTATGCTAATCATGAATGCATAGCTTGATGAATTTTCACATTTGTATATGTGCACATAACCACCACCCAGATCAAGATAACATTTCCAGGCATTGCTTTCCCACTCAGTTGTCACTGCCCCTGCCCTAGAGATAATCACTGTTCTGACTTCTATCACCATCAGTCAGTTCTACTTTGTACTGGACTTCATGTGTGTTGTCTTTTCAATCTGTCTCCTTTGACTTAATATGATGTTTGTGAGATTCATGTGTGTTGTTTACATATCACTATTTCCTTGTTATTTATTGAAGTGTAGTATTTCATTGTACAAATAAACCAGAATGTATTCATCCTTCAGCTAATAAACATTTGAGTTGTCCCCAGTTTTTAGCTATTATGAATAAAGCTCCTATAAATATTCTTGTAAATGTTTTTGGTGAATGTATGTACTAAGTTCTCTTAGGTGTATACCTAGAAGTAGAAATGTTAAGTAAGAAGATAGGTATATATTTAGCTTTAGTAGACTCTACTAGACAGTTTTTCTTTTAAAAAAATATAGTTTATTGATTATGCTATGACAGTTGTCCCATTCCCCCCCTTTATTCCCCTCCACCCTGCACACCCTTTCCCACCCACGGTCCCCTTCCTCTTTAGTTCATGTCCATGGGTCATACATGTAAGTGCTTTGGCTTCTACATTTCCCATACTGTTCTTAACCTCCGCCTGTCTATTTTCTACCTACTGTCTGTGCTACTTATTCTCTGTACCTTTCCTCCTCTCTCTCTCCCTCCCACTCCCCCACTGATGACCCTCCATGTGACCTACATTTCTGATTCTG